AAACCTATCAAAATAGAACTATTATCTTGAAATATAATATCAAATTATAGTTATAAATAGTAATATTTTCAGCATTTAGAAGGAATAATTTAAAATGTAATATTTTAAGATGTAATAAAATAATGAACATTCTTGTTTAAAACATCTTATTTTAATTAATGTCGTCTTTACTTTTTTCATTACATTTATATATATATATTACATGCAAACGTGAGCTCTGTGAGGTTTTGAAGCTATAAAACGAGCAAGTAAATAGTAATATTTTTAAACTTGTTGGGCTCAGATAAATAATATACTAATTTTGATAATGGAATTTTTTGCATATCTTCTGTTATAGTTTATCCCATTAATTCTATGTATTCCATATATAGATTTGCTGAATTTAAATCATTACTCAAAATGTTAAATGCATACTTAATGTTTGCATTACAATCGAGGTTAGCAACAGGTTGAATAGTAATAACAAAATATTGATCAATACATATAATAATATAATTCTACTAATTCTGTAGTACATCAACAAGAATTTACACATTGATTTTTTAAACATAAATTATTTTATTGGTATAATATTGATATTACAGTTGATCATTGATGTTAAATTAATTTTTATTTTGTGAAAACTGTAGACATGATATTTGGGGTTGTAATAATGTATTCTTGCGGTCCTGTGATATTTTCAGCAATAATATTCTTACGACTTCGTGTGACCCTCAGTTTATACCATTGCAGTATGATAAACAAAAATACATAAGTAGGTATATGTTATATGTAAAACTATACGTTTTTGTTCAAACCCCGATTACGATACACACCTTTTAGTTTCTCATTTTTAATATCAAACAGGGAACAAAAATCAAACTACTCAGTTTTCATTCCATTTCCATGTACGATGTTTTCCATAGATTTTAAAGCTCACACATACACGACGGTCTTAAACATCAATGTATAGTGTTTGTTGTAATTCTATAATCTGTACACTGTACACCGATCAAAAACTAATAGTGTGTGGCTATTTTATAAAACAATTTACTTATTGCATTATTCTTATATAAATCATAATCAGGCCTCAGAAGTTGTAGCATTAAAAATGTTACTTTTTAGCTCTAAAAACTCTAATATTTGCGCTATAAATAGCACGAAAAATCAAAAAATATGCATTTAACTTGAAAAAATGATCAATTTATTAGAAATAAAATGTCCTTTTACAAATTGTTGAGCTCACAATCTGGACTGGTTGAATTATAAACTGTTAAATTAATTGGTACTTGTTTGTTATCGCTTCTCCATAAATAAAAAAATATTTCCATGTATAATATTATTTTATTTTTAATATAACATTATTTCAATGTAGAATATTCAGAATATGTACTCGTATTATAATTTTAAATTTTAAATCAAATTTTTTGTATTTTTCAAAAATAGGTAATATAAAAACAAAAGCCTACAACATAAAAATAATAAAATGTAGTTTTCTAATTTCCTAAAATAGATCACAAACGATTCCGATAGAGATGTACGATATGCGATAAGCGCTATGCAATGTATGGTGGGGTGATAACAAACAAGAGTGGCGAGGCGATAAATTTTATACAGTGTACTGGCGGGGCATTAACAAATAAGTAACAATTAATTAAATGTGTTTGTAAAAGTGTACTTATAATTGAATTATTTTATATAAAATTGGAAATTACCCTGGATAAATTAAAACGTTTGATAATCTAATGCAAAGATACAATAAGGGAATAACATTGACGTCACTAACTATTTATACATCAAATTCTCGATGAAAACATAAAATAATAATTGACGAGGTCTATTTATTTCCAATAAATCAAATATTTTTTTAAAATATAATCAAGTAAATACCAATAATTATCAAGAAAATGTGATAATTTCTTTCATTATGTGAAAATATACCCAAAAATAGTACTATAAACCCCAAATTAGTAAAATAGCAATAAAACCGTAAATAGCAAAAATACATTTTGTGTATGATATCCAAGTAATTTGAAACATATTTGTATCTTACTTTGGATGTTCTAGAATGTACTAAAAAAAATATGCATTTGCCAGAACTTCCGAGCCTTGATCATAACCAAAAACTTAACACCTATAGGAACAACTAGTGGTATTATGCAATCGGTATGTTATGAATAAAACTTCAATTCAAACTTATTGTAAGGAACGCGATGTTGTCTCAACAGCGTATTGATGGGTTGTGAATCCTTTTGCATAAATTACTTTATAATAGAATTTGTTTGTTCGTTGTCAACGAGATAAATAAATATCTATTAATTTAATAATAGCCACGAAATTCTGCATAAAAACCAGCTACTATATAAATTATAATGCGAATATTAACATAACCAAACAAGATACCTAAATAGTAATACTTTGAATACCCCCCCCTCCCGAAAAAATCAGTAAAATATATCAAAGCACCTAAAATATGCATGCATTTAATGTGAAACGCATTATCCCGCCATCGTGATCAGATTTGACGGATTCTCGAGAAAATAAATTATATAAATGTATTGAAATGTAATGTAATAAAGCTTACTGTATATTTTAATTTTTAATACCTCCTCTATAAATAAGTATAACGAAAAATCAAATAAATAATGAACAACTTAATTCAGTTTTCCAGACAAAACCCACAACGATTCAAATCTATTATCTATAGTATAGATTCTATATAATAATTATTTTGAATAGGTATCTCGTAATAATATGAAAGCTAAATTTTTTTGGAGTTTACGGTAAGCAATTTCTATGACTTCTTTTATATATATTATTTTCAGATCTGAATGGAGTGTTTAGTACTAACTTATCAGGGAGATTTTGTTATAGTGCTTGAGCAGATGGATTGAAATTATTGGATTTTTTGCATGATACTTGGAGCGGTATTACTCCAAATGTATATACCATAATACCATAAAGAGTAGGTCAACGCTTTGTTTATAAAAATTTTAAGTTTCAGATTTAATTTGGATCTAATGAGAAGTTGAAGTAAATTTAACCTGGTTTTCAATTATTTTATTTTATCATATATATTATCTTTCCAAGTTAATCGTTTGTCAAAAATAAGCCCTAAGTATTTGACTTGGGTGGTTTAGGGTATTATTATAATCAACTGGTTGTAAAGTTTAACTGACGAACCGTTATCAAAACGAAGAGAGAAAATAATGAGGCTAGATTTGTTAGTATTAATTTTAATTTTTCATAGTGTGAACCAGTTTTCAAGTAAGTTGAAGGTAGACCATTTTTTCATACATATAACAAACTAAATTTGAAATTTTATATTTTGTAAATTGTTCCAAATTAATACATAACGAACGAATTATTTTTGTCAAAAGTAATTCGTTCGATATGTATCGATTTGAAGTCTTTTATAGTTTTTTTTTTATTTTTAAGTCTTTTACTCCTACTTACAGTTTACAGAGTAAGAATTATTAAACATTTTATAAAAATATGTTTGTCGACATAGGCTTTCCCTCATTATCTATAGTCGATCGTAAATATAGGTATTATAAAAACAATAAAAAAATAGGTACATTCACGCACAACTATATTTTGCCATATAACATAAAATTATTTTCTAAAAACCGAGTTGTAGGTAATTGCAAATCCCAAGGTGATTATTCATTAGCGAAGTAAACCTAAGGTAATGTAGTATTAAATTTACAATATTATGATTATATATGTATATTAAATTAATAATATGGACGATGGGTCAAACGAATATAATTTTTACGCTGCGTCTTTCTTAAACAAATAAGTTCTCATTATATTTTACGCATATTATAATTGTGTGGCTAAATAATATAATTAAAAATATGTGACCCAAAATTAAAATTAAACATGGGAATCCTTGTCAAACTTAAAGCTAATGTAGTGTTGAAAGGGAATTTAGATATGTGTAAGATATTTGCAAGAATACATATTAAGAAAAAAAAATTACAATGCAACACTCGCTGTCATAATTCAGTTGGCTTTAAAAATAAATAATAAAATATATATTACTGTAATTCCAATGTAGAAATATTAATACGTTTGCCTATGTCTTTTACTATCAGTTTTTAACCTTGAACGATCAAATATTTTTCCTAATGTATTGACTATTAAGTCATTTTTATTATTTTAAATCGTAATCAATAATATAATAATGATGAAATAAATTAAAGTTTTTAATTATAAGGTTATTAATTTTTCTATTTTATGTTTCATCATTTACCTTGTAATGTATTGATAGATGATAAAATAGATGTATAGGTCGACTTCAAATAATATGGGAAAGTTGAAATAACCTGACCTATGAAGTTAAAATTATTATTATTTTTATGGCTATTTACATGTAACTTTATACAAACTTTCCTATCGTGTTTACTTATTTCAACCAATACGAGTTTTCCCACATTTAATGATTTATAGTTGGTATAATGATTAATGAATCAATGTTGTAAAGAGGCATACAGAGATTGCTATATTATACATTAACATATCATTATTGATCATATCGAAAAGTGAACGAAAATAGCAGTAATAATAGATGTACAACTTTATGCGTAGTAGTGTAATACATATGTTAATTTATACTGTTACCTATAATTTTATTTTACTACCTATTTTTGAAACGATTTTTTTTGCACAGAACCGATGTTGTGTGATGAAATGTAGGTACGTTGATGTACGTATCTACGTGATTTCTATATTGTTTTTCCGCTCTTTGTTTCGTGTGCATAAGCGTGTTTATGGGCATGAGCGCATGTACTGAAGTTTTTGTGAAGCATTTCGTTTTGGATGGTAAAAATATTTTTAATAACTAAATTGTCTTAACGGAATTTTTATTTGCAGTATTATTTTATTACGAATCACAAGTTCATTCATTCAATATTATTATTGCAATGTGAAGGTAATTTTTCCTCCACGGTTCTCGGTATTCTAGTATCTATGTTCCCCACCATTGAATCGTACTACGTTGTACGTTATCAGTATCGATTTCATCGCTTAGAAGATAACCTTATTCATTGAAAGGTCGAATTCGTCAGATTTTTGTAGTCGCACCAAGAACTCGTCGACATTTTTCACATTTCATTCAAACAAAAACTATTTCAACATGTTGGGTTCCAAAGCCTTACGGGCCGTTAGGCAGTTTTCGACTACCGCCGTCAGACGAGAACATGCTTACGAAGGTCCCGGACACGTAAGTTGAAAAAAAAACTTATCTGATACTTTTGGGTAATACTGTAAAATGTCAAACACTCGTACGCCTCAAATAAATTACAATTTTTAATTTGTTCAGTTGCCTGATGTATCTTACTATGTATAACGAAATGTTCAACGCAATGCCGTAGAAATATCGGTATATATTTCAGAACAAATCTATGGCAAACTCATAAATTTAGAATTATGCTTTAATTTGATGAATAATGAGAATACATATTTCATAAATATTTCTAGTTTATTTTCACTATATTTTTTGTTTAAATCACAAGATTTATTGTTGTGTATACTTTTTATACTTTTCTATTGTAAAATGTGTGAGACACATTCTCATAAGATAACCTAAAAACCATGAAGATAAAACCTTATTTAAACTGTTATTATTCTATTCCAATATTTTATTCAACAATTTAATTAATGTTTGTAATATAATACTATTATATGTCATAAGATAAATTTATATATCTATTATTTAAAGGTAGTTGAGACTATTATAATTAGTTTCTTTTAAAACTATTAAGAACTAAACTAGTTATTTATTACTTTATGTGTAAAATAAAATTAAAAATATTATTATTTTATCTTTAAAAATTTTAGGATTCATTTATTAAACAAAAATTAATTTATTATTAAAATATTATACTTGAATTATTTAACTAACTTAGATGCTATAGTAGATAAGTTATTTTAAACTTATAATTCCCATTTATTGCTAAATATTTTTTGGTAAATTAAATCACTTAAGTTATTTTAACGTTAGTTACTTTATATAGATTATAAACATTTAGTTCATTATTTTTAATATGACTGTATGCATAGACAAGTATATTAAGTATTTAATTGAACATTAATTTAATTTTTAAAATATGAGTAATAATTATTAATTGTTCGTAATGTGTTTTACATATAAAGTATGACATACAATTCTTTATTTTCCATATTTTCTAATTATATTAGCTTATATAAATAGACCATGAATTTAATGTTCACCCAAGCCATTAGCAGTACATTTACCCTGACATTTTTCTTACATTTTTTGAACAGCTCAAATTTTATTTTCTATAATAAATCAGTCAATATTTTTCATTATGTGCAAAAAATGCTTATTATCATATTAACACTTTGAAAAATGACCAAGTTATTACTTATTATATCAATAAACAACAAAAGATAATAATTCAATTTTATCTATTTATTTCTGCACAATAAAATATTTTAACCCATACTTAAATTTTATTATTGTACAGTCTAAGTGTTAATTTAATTCTATTCATGTGTAATAATTTCATACATTTAAATATTATTTATAAATAATTTGATTTAAATTTTTTATGATTAATAAAATAAATAATTGCTCGGACTTAGGTTTTAAGTTGACTAATTTGATATTTATTGTTATCACATTTGCTATCCTAGTAATAGATTATAATGAAAAGATATTTTTTGTGTTTCAGAATTTGCCATTTGACGTTCAGAGCAAGTATAAGTTTACTTTATACACTGCTCTATTTTTCAGTTCAGGTTTTGGACTTCCATTTTTGATGGTGAGATATGTCAAGAAAAGGAGTGGATAATCTTTTATTTTCAAATTATATCAAGTAATTATTTATTTGTTTTATTAAAAAAGTGTTGAAACAATTTTAAAGTTTTGTTGATTTTTTTTAGGTCAACTAGAGCTTTTCATTCATTCCGCTGCAGAACATTTAATTATTCATAGTTGCATTTTTACTAATTCAAGTACAAAGATAGATACACTTACTAAGATGTTTTTCTGTTTATTAATGTTATTTCAATAAATAAATTCATAAATTTATAGTTTTATTTTTCTTCATTATTTAATAAAATAACAATTATGGTAACTTAAAAATATAACATTTGAGCATTTCCATAAGTTGTAAAAGTAATATACTTTTGATCTTTTTGTAGTCATAATTAGAATCCGGATTAAACTGTAATAGTTAAAATATTTTATCATATTATATCTAATCATGAAATATTTTAATTACTAAATGCGGATATTTCTGCTTTTTCATTTATTGAAATAAAAAAAGTATTTTCGGTGCTGTATTATATTATAAATAATTATTTTTATGAACAAATATGTATCTCCTATTTTTGTATTAAATAAGAAATAAGTCTATATAATATTTGTAGATTTTAAAACTGCTCATATCATGTAAGATAATACTTACTATATGCATGATCATTTATTTAATTGTGAATGAACTTAAAAAATAACTATGTCTATTAATTGTTTTCTTGCATTTAACAATTGATTTAAAAATTTCCCATAATAATCATATATATGAAAATTTAAATTTTTTTGACCTTAATTTATTTTAATAAGGTTTAAGAATAATATTTTTGTTATAATAATAATTTTAAAATATTTCAGTCCTTCTGTACAAACATATTTAGGTGTTTAATAAGAATATGATGTATCCGGATTCTAGTCATAACTTAAATATAGTAATATATATATATATATTTATTTACTTGGAAGTTCAATTAATAACTATGCCATAGTATTATTGCTATTAATAACAAAAACATTGAATTAAATAAATAATTTTTTTTTGAACTTTGATTAGCACTGTTCAGAGCTAATGGACCTAATTCTTCGATATTGATGCACTGTCCTTTTTTCATTTGTCTTTCGACACCAAAACTATCTTTTGCTAGTATACATAAATTCGTGGAACCCTAAGACAATTAAAATAATTTAATTATAATGCGATATAGTATAAAATACTTGCTGATTTACCCTAATAAAAGAATTTTTAATTGTTTGAGATCGTAAATTATAAGGAATTAATTTAGAAGAATTCCTTTCTTCTAATTTATTACCACCAGTAAATATTATAAAGTCTGCAATGTCTTCCTTGTTTTGTAGCACAAGCCAGTCAATTTTTATGTAACCACTTCCAGACCTATAATAATAATCATAAATTAATAATATAGTCAATAATTAAAATATTAAATTGGGTCCATTATAGTCTGGGTGTAATAAAAATATTGTTTTGTATAACAAAATATATCTATTTATTTATTTTTTAGTTTTTTTGTAGTTGGATGATCATTAAGTATTTAACAATACAACTGGACTATACACTTAAATAAATAAATTTATTTAGAACAATATATTATGTGGTAGACCTCATATTTATATATATATATACATGCAATATATGTATTTTATTAATTGTATTTAAAATTAATGTTAAACTAAAATCAAAATGTACCAGAAATCTACAATTAAATAGATAAAGAAAAATCTGATGGTTTATGAACATATATTTTTATGACTGATTTATGTTAAGGTAAGTCTTTGGTAAATAATTGGTATCACATGTTTTTAAATATAACAAAAAGATGTATAAGTTATTTATATATGTTCAACTACAATTCTCAATTATTAATGATTTAACGGTTTTTTGTACAATTAATGAATTATTTATCTAAAAATATGTTCCAAAAGTATGCCTATTTAGATTTTTTATAAAATTTACAATTTTTTGATAATTTTATTTATCTCTTGGAATTAAAGATGATTTTTAATTATTTTTCAATACAATTACAACGATTAGTAAATTTAGTTTTATTGATTTAGGCTAATCATAATCTTATACTTCCAAATTAATAACTAAAATCATAATTCTACTAAAAAATGAATCGAAATTTAAATATTATACGTCTATTGTAATTTACTTTTTTACGCCTCTGAATTTTACATCGGTTGTCGCAACAAATATATCATCATCGTCTTCTATTGAAGTATCGCAAATCAATTCATTATCACTTAGATCTGATATATAAGATACTTCCGATGTTAATAACTGTACACATGTAATGTTTGTCCACTGTGGATCTGGATTTAATTTCAAATTCAACATTCTTTTGACCGGAATTAGAGCACAATCGCATTCAATAGGATTGCCTAAATATTTAAACTATTAATTAATTATTCATTATAATATTATATAAAAATACCTACCTTTAAATGAAATCATAGGTCCTTTAGTAATTATTTTGGCCAAATCCGGAGGGAAATTATTAAATAGATTATTCTCTACGTCGAGGTATTTTAAATTTGGAACAAAACTAATTATTTCTTTTGAAAGTTTTGTTAGTTTATTATTAGACATCAGTAGCACTGACATATTTGTAGGCATGTTGCCTACCTTTTTCAATGTTTCTAAATTATTGTATGATAAATCCAATACTTGTAACGATGTTAAATTTTCGAGTACGCCTGAAAAAATATTTAATAGTGCATAAAATTAAAAAGGTACCTACTGACGAAGCTATTTATATTACCTGGCCGTATCTCATCAATAGAATTATGACTTAGATTTAGGTATTTAACTTTGCTGGTTCCAATCGTTATATCTTTTGTTACAATTGGTATTTCATTGTAACTTATATCGATAGATTCTAAGTAACTAGGCGTATACATATGGTTTGGAAATGATTTTTTGGTGAAAAAAGAAAACTGATTATGACTTAAATTTAACTGTAATAATTGTTTTAATAAATATTAAAAATGTCAAATAAAATATTCAAGATCCCTTGCTTACATGTTTGAGAGAAAGACAGTCATCCAATAAACTATTTGTCTTGTTGTCCAATGAACTGAGCTGATTGTACGACACATCTAAAGTTGTCAAAGATACTAAACCTATGTATAAAATATTCGTTAAAAAAATTGAATGAAATAAAAAGCTAAATTTAGAAGACTGCAATCAGTATATTGTATATACGAGTAATAAATATATAATATATATGTACACAGTGAACTATTATTTTTTGGGTTATAGAACAGTTTTAAAATAATTTCAAAGTCTGAATAAGTATATATTTAAACATTTTTTAAATCGATTTTAAACTTCTTTGTTTTAGATAAAATTGAATACCTATCCTTTGATTTTTGGCTTGAAAAAACTTACCTTTAAAAGCGCCATTTGGTATTTCAGTTAAACCATTTTCCGTCAAATTTAACAGCTGCAATTGCAATAGTCCATCGAAAGCCTGAGATTCAATTTGTGTAATATTATTTTGTGATAAATCTAGATAAAACACCACTGGCAATATGCCAAAAGCCTTAGAGCTAAGATGTGTAATACTGTTACCCTAAAATAAATAATGTTAGTTCTGAATTAATATATTATACATATGTTAGATCAACGAAAATGTTAAAATATAATATTACTCTTAGCGATAAATGCCTTGTTGAAACTAGTGGGCTCATTGCTTTAGCGGGAGGCATTGTAATAGAATTATAATCCAAATTTATACTCTGTAGAGATAAAAGTTTTGAAAATGACCCACTGTCCAAACTATCACCTAATATATTGTGACTTAGATCCAATGAAAGTAATGCATTCATCGATGGCCAAGCTCGGTCGGGTCCTATGTCTTCAATTTTATTGTGGCTTATAGTTAGACTTGATAGCGATATGGGTATAGTGGGTATTTGCGTAATCTCGTTATGTCTTAAATCCAAATGACTCAAGGACGACATTTTTACAAATGTTGCAGCATTAATTCTTTTTATCGAATTGTGATGTAAAAATAATTCAAGTACAGTCGGTAGAGTGCCGAACGTTGTGGACTTCAAATCTTCCAGTGCATTGTAGCTAAGGTTGATGAATCGCAGACTGAGAAGTGGCTGAAATACGGCGGAACTTATGGATTTTATACGGTTGTAGCTAAAGTCCAATGTATGGAGCTCGAACAGTTTTGGGAACGTTCCTTTAGGAATAGTTCTAATCTTATTGTGTGTTACGTTTAAGATTTTAATACCCGCCATGTTGCCAACTGGTACCTTTAAGTTATATAATAATAAATAGTTTAAAACTAAATATTAAAAATACTTAATATATAAACTCGTATTCCATAAATTGTATTTTAAACTTGTACCTACTTACACAACACTTTAGATTTCTACATTCTCACTTATATTAAATATTTGTTACATTATAATAAAAATAAATAATAAATATCTTGTTTAAGAATAAAAATACACCCGAGTATTTTTATTTTTCAAGAAAGCATAATGTTTTTATGATTTTTATACGTCTTAATTATCGAGTGAATTAGAAAAACTTACTTGAGACATATCTGTTAAGTTATTATACGATAGTTGCCATACAGTGGCATACGTGTTATTGTCAAACACCGAGCTTGCCATATTAGAAATTGAATTATATGACATGTCCAACATTGTAATATTAGCACAATTTTCAAACGCTCCACTGTCGATTTCTGATATATTGTTTTTAGACAAATTAATGTGAACCAAATAAAGATTTTTAAACGATAATTTCTCAACTTTGGTAATTTGGTTTTCAGATACATCGATGATCTATAAGATAGTATAATGTTGCAGTATTTATATAACAAATAATTAAATAAAATTATTTACATCAAATATGATTTTTTTAATAAAAATTAAGGGTATATAATAATTATTATTAATTTATATGATCTAATGCAATATTTTAATTGTTTGCAAAATAAATAAATAAACCATTACTTACTTCAACGTAGTTTTGACCAGAAAACATTTGATAGTCGATAATTTTCATTCGATTCCTAGCCAAATCTATTGTTCCTATTCTCATCATGGACGAAAATGTTCCTCGATCAACTTGAGAAATTTCATTATCGCTAAGATACAATCTTCGAAGAAATCGTAAACCACGAAATAGCTCAGAGTCTAATCTTGTCAATTTGTTGGAACTCAAGTTTAAAATACGTAACAATGTATTTCTTGCAAAAGCTCCTCTTTACCAATAAATATAAATAATACCATTTTTATTTCTGTACTTTATACAGTATTAATCCTGTTATAATTTTAAAATTAAATTAAATATTACCTGGTGACAGAAGGCAATGAGTTATTAGCTAAATTTATTGACACAAGTTTCGTTAAATCGCTAAAATGGGATGAATCTATTTTAGTAATATTATTGTTGGATATGTCTAATGTTTCTAAATCCCTCAATCCTTTGAACTGATTCTTTTGCAGTTTTTCCAATCTATTACCTTGCAGATCTAGGTACTTTAATTTTTTACATGGACCTAACGAGTCTGGAGACAATGAAGTTAATTTTCCATTTGTTATATGTAATTTTTCTAAACGAGTTGGCAATTGACTAGAAGTGAAAGCGTTGGTTGGAATATTAAATATCGCATGTTTATCCAAGTTTAATACTTTTAAATTTCCCAATATCTATAATTTTTATATAATATAAAACAGTATTATTTCTATAAAAAATAGTTTTCATTCAAAATAATAGATTTAATAATTACCTTAAATGCTCCAGAAGGAAATTCAGCTAATTTAGAATTTACTATGTGTAATTCAAAAAGCGTGTGGTTAATTCCGAAGAATAATTCATCATCCAGTAAATGTATTGGCGTATCTTTTATAAAGAGCCGGTTCACAGGAGTCGAGTAAAATATATCTCCAAATAAACGACCTTAAAAATATAATTTACATAATACAGTATATTCGTACGTATCATAGATACTGATGTATTATGTTATTAACACCATTAAAGTACCTAATATACCTAAGGTACTAGAAGCAATTTAAATCTAAATATTTTAGTGTAGATTTACAAGTATTAGTATTTAATAATTATATAAATGGTATTCAGATAACCATATATATAAGACTATTGGCGTAATTTCGCTAAAATTCAGGGAGTACAAAACTAATTAGGAAATTTACAAACTTTCAACAAATTGTCAAAATCCTTAACTTTGCAAATATATTTACTACTTTTAACTTAATTCCAGTTCCTTGATAAAAATTGTATACATTATACACAATTTAGTATCTATTATCATTAATATGAATTAAGTACATTTTATGATATAAGTAAAGAAAAATTAGTTAACACCTTATAATTTATTTTTACTCTCATTCGTTTATTATACTCTGATTATCAGTTGATAATGTTCGTCTATCATTATCGTAAATTCAAAACAAAAATCATGTTTCCATAAAAGATATAATATAAATATTTATATTTGTATAATATTGGTGATTTTTTTGGATGTACACCACTTCATTATAAACCCTCGACCCACCATTGCACTAGTTATACATTATAAATATAGAACATTTAGGGGGGTGCAATTTTACAGTTTTGCACCCCTCAAAAAAACTAGGGAGTACAAGTGCATCCTTTTGCACCCCCGAAATTACGCCTATGTATAAGACCTATATTTCACCTGTATTATAAGTATATCACCATATCTATGAAAAATTTTAATAATTTGTGGGCGGAATGCCTCAATATAAAATACATTCAAAATATTTAAGAAAAATTATTATATCTACACCAATGTATTAATTTGATGTTATATTTTACCAATGTTGCAAGACGATATAGTCAAATTGTCCACAACGACGTCACCAAGCGATGCAACGTTAGAAAGCCCGACGGATAATGTGGCCAAATTACTGTTTTCGCAATGTAATGCTAATCCATAGTCAGAATCTGCTACACAACGACAAGGATGTAACGCCAGTTCAGATAAACTGCCTATTTTTGGACACCTGTACTTGGGTCCCGGTTCAATGTATTCACCATTTACGTAGTACACGTAAACAATCAAAATTAAAAATATGTGAATCGACATATTTTTTAGGTACCTAAAAAAAAAGTTTTTTTTAATCGTTAGTGTATTGTGTATAAATTATCTATAATATATTAAGTTAAGGTTTATTTCTATAATATTTAACAGTTTACAATTAAATATTTTAAAGAAGCTTCAAGAAAGCAAAACGTTTAAATGTATCGATGCTTTCAATAGTTTATAATTTTCTATTTATTTACTTATTTAAATATAATATTGCAATATGCCTAATAATTGAAATTTATCAATTCTTTAGTCGTAATAGACCATACATAATAATTTTAACACCATATTAAGTAGACACCATTTTGATTTAAATATATAAATGATTGTATTTTTTAAAATTATTTCCTATAATAATCCTATTTAAAGTTATCTTTTCATTTGTTAATAATAAAATAAATACTGGTTTTATACGTTATACGTCATATAATTAATAGTTTATTTATTTTATTTAATAATTTATAATAAAACGTATAAAAATTTCACTGACCATTTCCATAAAAATGTTTTTATTCTGTTTTAAAAAACTAAATAATATATATCACGCTACCTTAATAATAATCTAACAACACTAGTTATTAAATATATTACCAACTAAATACCATAAATTATTATTGTTTTAAATTATTATATTTGTATCACTGTTAGTTATAAAATAAATTATAAATTATGATCATGGAATTTTCAATTTAACAATTTTTCACTATTATAAATGGTTAGTCGTTAAGTAGGTACCATTAAAAATGTTATACAATTTAAACATAGGTACGCATAAAGAAACGTAAAAAAGATGATATGTTTATGTTCTAGAAAGTTCTATTAAAATCACACACTTATAATTAAAATAAAATAAATCTTTAAACTTTGTTCATACATGTCTATTATAATTTATATTTTATTATTAAATGAATGTCTGCATGTAGTTATATACATGTATAGGTAGATACCTATATTATAATCAAATGCTCTGTCGTGGTAAATCGTATCCATAAGTCATAACATTTTTATTTATATGTATTTTTGTCGTAACTGAAATATTGTAATTAGTAATACGTACTAACCTGTTTTTCTAATAAACAACGATTTCATTGTCCATCATATTTCCATTCTTAGAACTACTAACAAATTTTCCTTCTCAAATATTCTTCGTGTTATCTATACAAATTGTAAGCGGATACGATAATAAATATTACGATAAAGGATATCTTACTGAATTCGTTCCGTGTCCAGTGAACATATTGCACTGTTATAGAATTCTACGGGTTTGTTAACTCTAGTGAGAACGGATACATTTAAGCTATATATGTACGGTAGGGGTAATGTCCTCGAAGGAGGAGAAAACCAGTCGATGTGTTCATTTTCCTTTCACTATTTGTGCGTCATAACTCATCTATATGCGCTACATTATCCGTAACAAAAATGATCAGTGAATTACATTTTTAAGGCTAAGATTTAAACCGATGATATAAATTACTTTATTAGTGCATTAAATGTCTAGACAATATAATTCTGTGTCCGTACTGTACTAATTACATTACCTAAAAGTTACAACTACTATGATTTTATTTTAAAAATCTTACTCATGTTCAATAAACTTTGATTTTCGAACATATTATAAAAATAACTAATATTTACGAGCCTTAAACAATTAAACATTAAAAAATTATGACTATATGAAATGAGCGAAAATTCCAGTTTTATTTTTATTATCTAGCAAGATTTAAAAAGAAATACTAAAAATAAAAAATGCAGGTGTTATTGACTTTAATTACCACACATTTGATTTTATAATTTTATTTATATAGTACGGTTTTTTTTTTTATTTAATTATTCCTTAAATAAACAAAATTATACATAATGAGAATGGTTCTTGAATTTTACAAATTTGTACTTCAAATAAAAATAAACAAATATAAACAATAATAATAAATATTGTTTTATAAACTTAGAAAAAAATATACTTTAATTTATTACATAAATATATTTTTGATACTAGACAGTTACACTAAAAAATAATTTTTAAAGTCATTTTTATTTTATTTACGTGTCATTATCACATATTATACAAAAATAACAAATTTAATATTTTTTTCTGAATCATATAAAGTACAATTTTAAGTACAACTATTTATAATATTTATAATCAATGGTACAACTAATTAATTTTAATATATATATATATATATATAGGTAGTGCATTTGTTAGTAAAGCATTATTATTCAAATGTATCCATAGGTAAGCACAAATCTATACTATCTTTAAGCAACAAAATGTATTATTTTGAAATATTTGATTGATGAAAAAAATTCAAATAATTTTAACAAAAGAATATAAGTGAAATATTACCTGATGATCACATTTTTACCGAGCTTAGTTAATTTGTTTAATCAACCGGTATCGGTTTTTATTTTCAGTGCCATACAGTGGCGCCGAACACGTACTTTTATAGGACAGTTCGCCCCTTCATTTAACTATGGTGATGGGTATCTGGTGTTCGGATGGGTATGGGTAGGGTTGAGTGGATACATTTACACTTTAGTTAATAAATCTTAAGAATGTACAAATTAAGTGACAGTCGATCCGTAGATGGTAGGATATTATGATTCGATAGAGCAATTCGCCTATCAATGCATATCTTTAAACCATATCAAGTATAAAGACGTACATTGATATTTATATCTATTTCGCACACATAATGAAGCTAAACGCCTCTCGGTTTTCAGTGTTAAAAGTGATTATATAGCACGCAAATACATCTTTTAAATATTTTAAGATAGTTACTTAAATTACCAATAGCCCTGTGAAACATTTTTGAAACATCTTTTTTTGAATTACAGTTGTTTAAAAAATAAAATAAACGGTTTTTTGTTTTACATTTCTTTAATTTTAATAATGTATTTAATATTTAAATAATTAAATCTATATTTGTATAGGCTTCAAATTGATAGTGTTTTTTTCTAAAACTACTATGAAGTAGGTAAGCAATAAATAAGGTAAATAGGTAATAATTAATATTCATGGTAATAACAAATTTTTATACTTTGCCCCACCAAATAAAATACAAGTCGGCGCCACTGGTGCCATATTGTATGGTCTAAATTGTATAATTGCTATCAATATACTTGCGATAACCATAGGCGTACGCAGACCTATATTTTAGAGGGTGCCTACGATACTTTTAGGCCCTATACTTGTAAGCATATTAAATAAATTATAATGTATAAGTAATTAAATAAACATAATTTTAATTATTTATTTAATATTGTGCATATTTTAATCCTAATAAATATATTTTCCTTGATTATCGTATATTTTTCTCAGATAACTTTTGTAGTCAATTGTTGTTGTTATATTATCATAATTTTTTGTATGAACATTTTGTTTTATTTTTTCTATTACCAAACATCGATTACTTTTTACCAAATATTTTAGAATAAATTACATTTAATTTGAGTAAGATTATTTATAATACAGGCCCCTTACTCTTAGACTTAAATTTTAGGGCCTCACTTAAATTCTTTCGGGGGGTGCTCGGACACACCCGGCATTCCCCATGCGCACGCCTATGGCGATAACAATAAATAAAATATGGATAATATGAAAACAAAAGAAAACTTTCAAGTCCTCCTAATACCTAATAATATTTGTTGAACCTTTTTTATTTAATTTTGTACATTGTTTGAAAAATTTAATAGCTTGGGATCTGTGGGATTCTTTTTCATAGAGAATAAAAAACTAACCAAAGAAATTAAGTTATGAATTCTTTCATTATTTAAACATACTAGGACTTACTCATTTTGACTAGTTAACTGTAATTGAACAAAAATAAATTTCTTGCTAGAAATAGAACCTTTATTTACCGTTTTTCTAAGTTTTCTGTGATAAATAACTCAATTATCAATATAAAACGTGTATGTACATACTTATTACAAAGTCTGAAAAGTTGTTATATTTTATGTTTACTTTCGTGTATTACAGAAAATATTAACTAACATGCATAGGCGTATCCAGACTTTTTTCGTAGAGGATGCAACAGGCGCGGATCCAGAGGGTGGGCTGGGTGGGCCCGAGCCCACCCAAAATTTTCAAAAACAATAATTTTAATTTTGAATATTGGCATTAAAATTGATTTTATCAAATATATCATATAAAACGTATTAATCGTGCATGGTAAGTAACAAAACAGCAATATATCTACCTTTTATAATAAGTTATTATTAATAACATGTAATTGTCCGTGTGATTAACGTGATTTTATCTAAATATCGATTGTCGTCGTTCGAACGCTAATGGAACCCCGATAAGATATAATAAGTGTACGTAGAACTGAACCCTACCCGACCAGCAAATATTGTTAAATGACACACGTGTACTCGTAATATTATCATATCTGAGATTCTAAAATCCTGTTTTATTTTATTTATAAATACTTTTTTTATAGGCCATGAAACATTTTCTTGTTCCCCTTTTACAATCGGATCAATCTGTTATTGAATCTGTTACTTCCAAAAAAATTCGTAAATCTTCTACTTCAATAGGTGTCATTGATCGCGATGTTCAAAACAATATTTTTGATATTAGTCAAAACGTTGAAAAAGGGCCAAATCAACCCAACATTACGTTTACGTTTTCAAGACGAAACATGGGCGGAAAACAGAGATCATTTAATATTTCATGGTATTCAAAATACGAATGGCTAGAATATTCGAAAATGAGAGATTCATTAAATAAAATCATAATTTTATTGTATTTTCTTTTGTGGTTAAGTTTATGGGCCCGCTCAAAAAAATATTCCTGGATCCGCACCTGGGATGCAACCCTAACAATAATAATTCTTACTAACTCAATAAGTTTCTCTGAGTAAATTTTAACCGGTCTTTCATTAAATGAGTATATTCACGGATTATACGATAAAAATTAAAATAATTCTAGGACTTTTTCTAAAAGACCTTTTAAATATATCCATTATGCTTTTTTAATGTATCCGACGAGATATTTCATCTGGGCAGACATGGGCGTAGCTTGGTATTATTTGTGGAGGCTATATTATAGGACTAGAAAAATTTATTCCAAAAACTCCTTATCTTTAGTTTGAATTAAAGCGAAAGAGAACATTTCTTAGAAAAAACAATTTATAGGTGTCTCATTCTTTACTTGGCATTTTATTTTACAATACATAAAAAAAAAAAACAATTCATTTTCAGTTATTAAACTAAGTTTTTTTTTTTTTTAAATAATTAATAAAATATCTTCTTTCAACAGTTAATTGTGTTTGGTCCAATTTTTTAAAACACCATCAACTAAGCGACATAACATTGTTACTGGGCGATATTTGTGTCACCTAGTTAACACGTTTAAAAAATGCACTGAATAAACATACAAACATTTGTGACTACAGACAAATTTTGGTGCAATACAAAATTGTAACACAAATAATTTTAAGGAAAAACTAATATAAAAATTTCAAAACATCCATAGAATATCGATGTTTTCTTCGATATATCAAAGACTAAACATAAATAGTGAAACATCGATGTATCAAACATAAACCTCGATGTTTTAAAAACATATATGTTTTTTGTCAACCTCCAGTATTTACGTTTATATTTTTGTTTTTATAGGTAGTTTAATTTGAGTTGGTCCTGTTTCCAGGTTCCCTAAGTTTAACAGAAATGAGTCATTTAATGCAATTTCAGAATGCCCAGGTTGAATATTGTTAAGATCATCAGGTATTATCGAATTATTGATTTTAATTTTACTATTTATTGGATTTGGATCATCCACTGCATAGTCTTCGTTGTCTCTAGTTGGTGGTAATGTTTTATTGTCAAGCTTTTTCTTTACATTAAATATACTGAACATTTTAAAAAAAAAAAAAAAAAAAAAAACCAAAGATATTAAAATGAATTAAAAATTAATGAAATAATATGTTTTATAGTAAAATATAATTCAGACGTGTGTGTGATTAGCAATACACGAACAAACAACAAAGGCAGACCATTCATCACGCTTCATCTCTCAGGGGGTGCAAGTGCATACTCTGCCGCCCCCGTGGAAACGCCTATGCAAACATGATACATCAACATTATGTAAGAAATCCTAACCATAAATGTAAAGTAAAAAGTACTTACACAATTAAAAGTTATCGATAAATGCTACAAGAGCAAAAATAAAGTAGATAATGTCTGTGATCAGAACTATACTTAACAATACGATTTTAATACAAACATTAAAGTATAAATAAAAATAAGTAAAATATAAATCAAAAATCATGTAATTTTTGAATATACAATAATAAGATTTAATTATTATTCTTGATTTATTATATACATTTTTATTTTTAAGTAAGCTATAAAAAAACTTTTTCGAATGTTAAACCGGGACTGGAATCTATGAATAACACAAATCATAACGATAAAGATAAAATAAATAAAAGCAAATTTCAAACCTTAAAGTAGGTAATACATTTTCTTATCAATCATTACTTAATTAATAAATAGAAAATAGATAAATATTAATAACAATAACATAACAGTAAACTAGATTGAGTAAATCACGATTTGGATAATTTATTAAGAATTTAGGTTAGGTATACCTAAAGTCATCATAAAAATTTTAGAGCCTGGAGAAAATTAATTTGGGGCCCCTAAATCACCACAAAAAATACACACCGTGCTTTCAAAGTCGTTTAAATGCATCGATACAGTGTATTATATTTTTAATAACTTCTTAACAGTATATTACCAGTTACCATATTTGATAAAAATTAAATTTATTCCTAGATAATTATTAACAGCCATAGAAAATAAGAACTTAGATGTTTTCTCGTCAATACTTGCAATAACGAATTTTTACGTCAATTTAGATAAAATTATATAATTCTTCACACTCTAGCAATAACAATAATAAATTACATTTATAGCTATTTAGACATTAGAAAATGTACCTAGCTTGTATACTAAAATATAAATTTGAGTTTATTTTATTTTATTAAATTTATTAAAATGTTATAAAGGAAAATAGTTTAGAAATATTATATTAATATTTATATCTCTAATAAGTATCGCCGAATATTTCTAATCTTGACTTTTAGTTGGTCCCCTTTAAATTTTCCTAGATTGGGGCCTAGGGAAAAATGGTCCCGTTGTTTTCCCCTCTGGATGACGGCCTTGATTATACCTATTATCGATTTAAGAAAATTGGTTCGGATATATCATTATTTTGTTTAAATTTATAGCACCTACTTTATTGTAATCGTTTGCTTGATAAAAATCGGCTTTCAACAATAAATTGTTGTTGTTTCTAATCGTTTTTATTAATTTGAATGCAAACGTTTACAATAGTTACACTAATCAAATAATATTATTCTAACTAGGTATATCTATAGTACATAAATAAGTAAGAGTGTATTCAAGTGCATAATAAAGAAAAATAAATCAACAGTATTGTTCCAGAAAATTCCCAATAATTTAGTAACAACATTTTCAAATAAAAACAAATACTTAAACTTCCATGCACAAAAAATAATCAAAGATAATTTTTGCATCATTACATAGGCGAAAAATAACTAAAAAATGTACACCGATAAATATATAGATAACTTGACAACTGTTAGTCTCGGGTCAAAAAAATGTATAAAGTAAATATAAGTAAATATATAAATATATATATTGTATACTTTTATATAAAATATATAAATAGTTTATACAAAAGTATACAATGGAAAAAGAAAAATTTAAACACTGTGAGAATGATTTGAACTAGAAGAAAAAACAATTATAAATTTATAAACCTTCGAGTGTTGCACATTCACTTACTCAATAAACGATTTAATATTTGAATCAGGTAACTTTAATAGAAAAATATATGCTTTTTAGTTGAATTTTTATATGAATATTTTCATATAATTTTTATAGTTAATGTTAGATTTTATTTGATGGTTACAGTCACATACATATCTCATATTTGTTACCATAAGCTTCATAACCCATATCAGCCACATCGTTTAGGAGGCATAGTCTTGTTCCCTAGACATTTTGACCGTCATATTGTTGATTAATTAATTTATAATGAATAGTAATCAAATTCTCTAAGAAAGTGGTTAGTATTACTTTTAAATTGAGGTTTTGCAATCAAATTAATGAAAATCATAAAGTCAAAAAATAAAAATCTTAAAAAAAATATCTTTTGGTTTAACAGCTAATTTACGTTCAAAAAACTACTTTTAACAATTTATTTAATTTTTTTTTATTTATTGAAACAACATGAAACTATAATAAAAGCATACAGAAAATGAAATTAATTTATCAGAAAGTAATTAGAAACAAACTTAATAATACTTAAAAACAAACAGGATATTGATTTATATGAAATATATCATTTAATAATAATAATTTATAAATCATAAATTTAATTAATATCAAATTTATCAAAAAATATCACAACTAGCTCAGAATTAACAATTGCATACTACCTACATATATATTTACTTTTTATATATCAAACAATATTGCCCCCTCTCCTGGATAAAAAATCAAATCCACGGTGGATTATCCACCTATGACACATGAAAGTATCTACGTACACATTACAATAATCGTTTATCGAATCTGCATGAACTTTAAATGCGTACCTCCCTATGTAGTGCAAAGATATGTTCAATTATCTCACACGATTATATTTTTACTTTTATTTATACTGTATCAAATATGTAATGCGCAAGGATCTCCTATTTTATGTTTATATATTACTGATAAACACATTTAATTTGTTTAAAATATACTTACATTATATATAAACAGACGGAGTGAACCAGTGACTAATTTATAAAAATTATGTTTGCATAGAAAAATGTATTTTTGTTATCATTAACATGTTAACATGTTTAACATGTTTTTTATGTTTTTAATTTAACTTTCACCACCGAAAATGACCAGGTAATCAAAATTAAAAAAAAAAGTATAAGTAAGGTTGTTTATTCGGCAAATTTTCCGCTATAAGCATGTGCTATGCTTGATAGTAAATCCACTTCCAGTTTCAACACAATGTAAGTAAAGTAAAACAATTGATTCACCCCAATAATATGGTTAATTATAATATTATGATCACGATTGATTAAAAAATAATGGTGGGTAACTCTGGTAATCGATGAGTAAATAAATGTAGTTAGTGACATTTTTTGATGATCAATCTTAGCAAATCTAAATTTAGTGTGTTAAAGAAATATTTGGATTAAGTTTGTATATTGTAATTTTATGAACCTATTGTGGACTTTGCAAAAGTACAAATGATTATTTTACTATAGAGGAGGATCGTAAAATATACACTTAACAAAATTACATGATTCAATTATGTATATATTCCTACAAAATGATAAAAACTATATGATAAATTTCTTATGCACATAGGCGGTACTAGACCCTCTTGGTAGGGGGGGACAGGAAATACTTTAAGTAAAATATTAACATTATTTTGTCTAAATCTTTAGACCTGCAATACTATAAAAAAAATATTTTATTGATAACTGTTTTAACTTATTTCAAATGAAATTATTTTGTAAAATGAATAATACACTTACAAATATCTACATTTATATTATTTTATCTTATAAAATTTTGAAATAATAACTTACCATAATTTACCTGTGATGGTTCTCATAGGCGGACCCAGAGTGATACATTTGAGTGTGCCCTGTCATTTTTTTCAAAATATAAAGGGGAGGCTATAAATACTTATGTATAGACTATATTATGATTTAAATTCTAAAAATAAAGGCTTCATTAATGATGTAAAATTGGTATAATGTACACATAATTATTATTTTAGACTTAGTCTGAACACTTGCAATATTACTTACAAAAAACTAAAATTTAATTAATGTGTATGCACATATATTCTCAATTGTAAATATTCAATTTTTTTTATTCGCATTATTCACATAAGGGTGTGCCAAGGCACCCCTGTACACCTTGTAGAGCCGCCTATGATGGTTCTTGTATGAAAAATTCGTATAAAGTTTTTATTTTTTTACTTTGGTTTATGTTCATAATTTTTATTATCCAAAAAACTCAAGAATACTAAATAAAATACACACTTCAAATTAAAATATAAAATCATACAAAACGTTTGTGATACAGATTATAATAAAGTAATAATATTGGTTCATAATTTGTCAATGATAAAAATAAATTATAATAATATTGAAAATGTTGACGCAAAAAAACTTATCAGCATATTTACATGATTGATTCCCACGGTAATAATATTATTACTTACAACCATGCAGACTCTAAATAAGCATGTAATATGAGGGGTTACCAACCAATATTTGAAATGTATAGGGAGAGTAAGAACTCGCAGGGGGGCAGCCACCTACCTTGCCCCCCCCCTGTAGTACCGCCTATGCTTATGCAATATGTTTTTAAATTACATGGCAAACATTTTTATTTTTCAATAAATTTGGTTACATTATTCCACTCAAGTATAATTCATTATTCTAAAATAAAATATATATTTAACATAATTACAAATTCATTACATCAAAATATTTAGAAAAATATTACAACATTTCAGAATTATTAAACGATTTAGAATTTTTCAAGATTAATTTATCTACTAATTCTTGATAAGTTGTTTTATTTTTGCATAAAGCAGTTAGATTAGGTTCACAGCCAAGATCTCTCAATTCAGTCAGTCGTTCCTATAAATTAAATATACATATAAAGTCAATTAAATCATAGATGCAAGTAATAATTTTACAATTATTGAATAACATACCTGTAATGTAGAAATACTATGAGTAAATACACGTGGAGTACTCATTATATGTGCAGGTCTATATCCTTCTTTGAGCAAAAAATCTAATATTTCTTTTAGTTTAGTTGGACTGACTCTCAATATTGAGGGATATTTTGAATTAATATAACGTATAGTTTTCTCTGATACTTTTAATCGTTTGGCTAAGTATTGAGCTGTTGAATCTGTGTTAAGAACAACTCTATTTTCTTGTTGTATCATTATAGTTCTATAAACAATGCACTAAAGTTTATAACTACTATATTTGAAAAATCAATTTTTCTTTTACCTTTGAAACACTTCAGGTTTACATCTTAACATCCATGGTTTAATTCCAATATTTGCTGTTTTAATAAGTGAAATTCTACGATTGATTTGTTCAATACTATACATAAATATCCAAGTGTCTCTCCAAATATCATTCTTATTAACATTATTTTCTTAAACAAAAAACGTAATATTTCATTATAACAATATTAATCATGGACAATTAAATAATTTCTACAATTCAGTGTTTCTTTTGAAATAGTGACTACTATATATTATGTTTCTTAATTTATCTTTAACCTACAGATAGTTAACAAGAATGTATTAGTTTTTATTAAATCTGCAAGAACAACTAAACTTATTTACTTAAAAAAATTTACCAATTAAAGTTTGATAGATTTGGTGTAAAGTTAAAAAATTTCGTGAAAATAAAAATTTGTAATGAATCATATGGTAACAAACTTCTTCGGGTTCTTTCTGTAAATAAAAGTTAATTTTAAGTAATTAAATATTATTAAAATATAAATAAGACATTATACAATTAATAATTAAATATATTTAAAAAAAAAAAATTCTTGAAAACAATTATTATTTTATAATAAAATCATATAATATATAAAAAATAAATAAAATAACATTTTTAAAAATAATATAAATGTAAACTTTATTTTTCAATTTGGCTCTATACCCTGTACTTTATATCTTATATTTTAAATTCATAGTATCATATATTATGTAAATTTATACTGTAAATATGATATTGAGTAAATTATTGAGTAATTTTATTATCACAAACAAATTGCAATCAAATTAAAAATTAAAACATTAACTATAAATTTAAAAACTATACTAACATTTATTTACTTTATTTTAACAGAATTATTTTGAACTTCAGTAATTTTGAATGGTAATTTATAATATTATATATATATATATCTAATGAAATATTTAAGAATAACTAATATTCGTAAACTCATTATTAAAACATTTAATATTTACAGCAACATAATAGATACACTTATATTGATTATGATTAGGGCTCGGATTTGCATCTTTTTTTTTGGGATATCTTATGCGATGCTTTCCAAGCTACAAATTTGTTTCAGTTACACCGTCGTGTTCTACTCAAAAACTATTTTCGGGACATTTTTTGCATTTTTTTACGTTTTTAATGTATATTTTTATATTTTAAGACATTTTTGACCTATTTCTCATATTATGACTAACTTCAGTTGATGTTGAGAAGTCATTTTCAGTATATAAAAACTTATTGGCAGACAACCACCGATCATTCATATTCCAAAACTTAAAAGAAATACTAATCGTACAGTGCAATTCAAATATATAATTTAATTTTTGGTTCAATTTTTTATTTTATTTTATTTTTATTTTTTTAATGTAATGTAAATAAAATTTCATTTTTTACTCATTTTTTTAATAATAATTTGAATTTATTAAATAAATGATGCACTTTTTGATATTTTTAGGGCATTTTTTAGAGTTTTTAGTTCATAAATGCATTTTTTGAAAGGGCATTTTTTTGATGAGTAACACTGATAACATTTATTCAAACCTCGAAATTTTCTGCAAAATAATAAACTCTATTTCCATGTGGTACAATTGTTGATTCTATTATAGTTCTTCTGGTAATATATGCAAGTTTTTTTAGAGGTAATTGAAGTAGAACAAATAAATCATCCATTTGTTTAGGGTTCCATTTTGTCAGTAGCAAAAAACCACTTCTTAAATAATCTAATAATAATACAAATAAAACTATTAAAAAAATATATGGAGGTTGTTATATTGTTATTTTTAAAAATTCAAACAATTTCTTTCTTATAAACCGCATTTTAAATAGACAGTCTACTTAATTAAAATATGTAATTTTTTAAGTATTCTACTTACTGATTTTTAATTTAAAAATCCATTCATTTTTATAAATTGTTTTAGCAGAAAGTCCATTTTTAATACATTCGTTATATATTTTATCATAAACTGATTCATTTTTGGCCTCGAAGTTGACCATGTGACTAGAAAAATCTTGTTTTCCATTAATCTTTGTGATTATTTGATTCTTTGACCGAACAGAATTTGTTCGTTTCAACAATTTAAAAAAGTTTAAAGCTAACATGCTTGTTGATTAATGAATAACATTTATAATTATAAAGTTATACGCCAATTGAACGACCTATTGAAAAAACGTAAGACATTATAGTAACAAATCGGTGTAATTGTGAATACAGTGGGTCGTAGCGAAAATCGTAGAAACCAACTAAGTGGAAAAATGACAATAATTAATAGATAAGAAAATGTTGAAGCGATCGTGTTATCAGTATGTGCTATTTAATGTTTACGATTTATAACTGTGTTGGCGCTCAATTATCGAGGTGACCGTGTCGTTTATCGACAAAAGTGGTTATAACCATGGCCGACGAACGATAATTTCGATCGGCGGCAACAATAATAATTAATACATGCCGGAAAGCAAATTCAAAAACGATAGGGAAAAAAGGGATGAAGAAAATAATCGACTGGAAAAAAAATAGCTGACGAATAAATATAAAATCTGAGCAAATCGAAATTCCCCCTGCCCTCCCACTCATCGCTGGTGAAGTCGCCATCACACGCCGTCCTCGGTCACTTGCCGTTTGATAGTAATTGATCAGTTGTTCCGCATTCTGGGAACCAATTGCGTTTTTATTTAATATTTTCATGTTTTTCGTTTTATTTTCGTGGGATGCAGATATGTGCCGCCGTCCAGTGCGATCGCACACCGTTGTTTGTCCATGATTGGTATTTGTTTTTCTACAACCACGTACAAACTATTATCGTCCCGTTATCACCTCTCTCTTTCCCGTTGTCAATCATCGCTTAATGTCTCCATGGTGATGATAGCAGTTGTAACATTTGCCATCCACTCAGATTGTTTTTGTTTAATAAACGCTTCGTACGCTTAAAGAACAATTTCCGCTGGTCGGACTATTCATTTTTTACAACTGTCATATATTAACGGTTTTTTTAACTATTACTATTATTATTATTATTATTATTCTACCTACTTCGTTTGTCATACCAACACATTTTCGCGTCAACATACTTAATTTTGTACAATTTCCTTACCAGTACTTATTATCGTCATCATCATCGTCTTAAAAATCACTTAACGTTTCCTATAATATTCGTTGAAGTCTTAGAAATTATACTCTCATTGTTTGAAATAAATAATAATTTCCTTTGTATTGCATCCACATTTTGTCTCTTGGCTTATGCTTTTAATCTTTTTGTGAAAGAATAAATTTTAAATATAAGCCATCCCAATGTTTAAAATGGATCCAGTGCAGATGCCCCAACAACTTACTCAAGCAGCACATGATCGTGAGAAGGTGATCCAGTGGATCGTTGATCTGTGCAATACCGAGACCAGAGAAAACGCACTTTCAGAACTCAGGTAACACTAATGATTTGTCTGCCAACAATTAAGTTTATTTAATAAAATACTAGTGTTGTAATAGTTGCTTTTTTCCAATTTCAGAATGTTTTATTTTTCTTAAACTATTATGAAAAATAAAAACATTGTTTTCTTGTATATTATTGTTTTTAGGTTATATTGATACACTGTAATTCTTAGCACTAATTTCCTTTAGTTGAAAATTATATTAACTGTTAAAACCAAAAAGTTGAAACTAATATCTGTTACTAAATATATTATAAGTATAGTTTATTTAAAAACTTAAAATTCATTTTTACTGATGAAATGTTTGTTACAGTAACAGGTAGCAACTAAATATTCACTTTTAAATATTGTTCCAATGTTAATAAATTATATTGTTTATAAAATTTAAAATATTTAATGGCATAAGTGCTTATTCTCATGTTTATAAAAACTTATTATAAGTAACTACATTTCATAATTTATCTATTTAAATTAAAATAAAAAGTTCAAGATATGAATTAATAACTTACAAATGAATTTATGTATATGTTACCGGCAATATGGATACTCTGGTATTTTGCAAAATGCCTAAGCATTATATAAAATACCAAAAATCACTCGGAAATATACATAATAAAAACTTTTCCTAGGTATTATGTATAATACCAATCGTGGAGTAGGCAATATGAAGAAAACAAACAAAATTGGGCATATCCTATTATTAACGACTTTACTTATTGTTTATCATAAATGTGCTAATACTAGTTTATTATCTGATGAACAATATAATGAGTTAATAAAAATTCGATTCACAAGAATTGGACAAGAATATTTAAAATGTGTTTGTAAGTCCAAGTATCAAAATAAAAAGTGTATTTGCTTTAAAAATAACATTTTGTGCACTTCAAAATGTCACTTTTCTACAACATGTTATAATAAGTAAATAATATTTTAAGTAAAATATTTATAAAATAGTAATAATATAATTAAAAATTAAATTTTGTCTGTACTATGAGTAATAGTGTATAATAATTATAAAAATCTTAATATAAATTTTGTACAATAATTGTAACTTGTAATTGTAATTTGTACAATAATAAGAAAAAGTACTGGTTTATTATCATTCCATTTTGATATTATTACAATTTTTCTTTCGTAATCTCTCTATATTGTAATCTAGTCATTTAAATAAAAAGATAGAATAGAATAGTTATATATTAGAATAAACCTAATATTAATTTATTTTAAATATCAATAGTGTTCTATTATTTAAAAATTTGTACTAAAAAATTTAAATACTACATCATTTTTTTTTTTTTTTGTCAGTATTTTAATCATATTGTTTGTAGGTATAGGTACTATTTATTTAAAAAATTACATTATTTACTTAATCTGCTTTATAAGATAAATTATAATGGTAATGTTATTTGTTTTTATACTATTCAATTTACACTTTTAAGTAAAAATAAAAATATCTAACCAATTGCATGATGTGATTTGTTACATTGCTAGGTTGCTAACTTCCATAGATGATCATCTGGATTTTTAACAAAAGTTCATGATCCTACTTATGATTCGTGTTTTTTTAACCTTAAACTTAATGACCAACCGATAAAAATATATATTTACTCCAATGACCAGAGAGTTGCCACAGATTAAAAAAATAGATTACTTATATGAAGAAATAAAAAAATATATCAAATAAGTAATATGTTAACACTCTTAAGCAAGAAGTAACATATTTTTATTTTTAATTTTGAACTTATAATGTTCAAGTTTTAATTTCCAAACTATTTTTATATCTCAATTAAATGTATTTAAGAAGTAACTAGTAAAACCAATATTAAATAAATTATTTTTTCATTTTTTTCAGCTCAAGACGTGACATTATTCATGATCTTGGCCCTTTGCTTTGGCATACAACTGGCACTATAGCAGCCTTATTGTTTGAAATTGTGTCTACTTATCAGTATGTTAACCCTCCAACTATGTCACTACAACAAGTGACTCGTCTTTGCAATGCTCTTGCACTTCTACAGTGTGTAGGTGCTCATCCAGATACACGTTCACAGTTCCTTAAGGCGCAGATACCTCTTTACATGTATCCATTTCTACACAATGCCAACAAATGTCGTAATTTTGAACATCTTAGACTTACAAGCCTTGGAGTTATTGGTGCTTTAGTAAAGGTGAGTACTAAAATATTTTAAGTAAAAAAAATTATAAATAATAAACTTAATAGTGCCCAGAAATATAATATATTATTTAAAAATGGGTAAATAGTTTCCTTTTTAGCATGCCACTCTACTATCTTGGAGTATTATTTTTTTTTCTAAATGTGTTTAACAAGATTACAATTATAATATAGTCATACATTTATTTTAAAAACATTTAATTGAAGATTTTAATCATATTAATAGTATTTTCTTTATGATTTCTTTTACCTTTACAATTCCATTATACATTTTGATTCTAAAATAAAAATTATAAATAAGTTAAAAAAAGTTTAAAATCTTAATAAACAAATATTATTTAAAGTTGTCCTTTTTTGACTATAAATTAAAAGCTCTATATTTTTTTTGTAAGATATGGTAGAGTAGATTTAAATCTACCTTCAGTTATTGAATGAAATTAATTTTATAGTTGTTAAAAAAAAATTTAAATTACCATTGCAACACCCAAATTAATAGTATACCATTTTATTTCCTATTTGTTGAAAATATATTTAAAAATTAAAATACTTAATAAATATATTAAACTAAAATAAAATCTATATTTTTTTGGTATTTAAAAACTTATGGTATTGACCATCAATTATTTTAGTGAAATTGTATTTGTTATTTTTTCAGACTGAAGAACAAGAAGTCATAACTTTCCTTTTAACGACTGAAATTATTCCACTATGTTTACGTATTATGGAAACTGGTTTTGAGTTAACCAAAACACTATCAACTTTCATATTACAAAAAATACTTATGGATGATAATGGTTTAAGCTATATTTGTCAAACTTATGATCGTTTTTCTCATGTTGCTTTGATTCTTGTAAGAATATTTAATACAAAACCCACAACAATATTCTTATTATAATTTTTTCATTAATTCATCACTAAATTAATTTTTAGGGAAAAATGGTGTTGGCACTTGAGAGAGAACCATCTACTAGACTATTAAGACATGTAGTGGGATGTTATGTGCGCTTATCAGAAAATTCAAGGTATTTGAATATTTTTGATTAATTTTTATCATAAAAAAGTAAAAACAAATTAAATACATTTGGGTATAAAACTATTAGAGTACTTAAAAATTTACTATTATTTTAATATATTAAAAAAAAAATTGTATGCATACTTATACGTTTTTCAAAATTCAAATTTTAAATTATAAGTTGTATCAATAACATTTCAATTTTTAATTTTTTTTTTAATAAACCATTTACAAGCATTTAAATTTTGTTTTTCTTGAAACTATTGAAATATTGAACTTTATTTTTGATCTAAAATGTATATAGTTGTTTGATTTTATACATAAACTTTATTTTTTTTATGTACAGAGCTCGTGAAGCCCTCAGGCAGTGTTTACCTGACCAATTAAAAGATATGTCTACTTTTTCGGATTGCCTTGCTCGTGACCAGACCATTGCTGCTTGGTTGTTATTATTGAAGAATAACTTGGAATCCGTTATGCCTATTGATGTATCTCCTGGTGTTCCATCACTTGTCAAGCCATAATTGTGTACATCAATCAAATGAAAACCATGGCTCGTTTGATTATCATATCAATTTGATGTTTATTAGTTACAAATGACTATGTACTTATCTCACAACTTTTTTGTAACATGGAAGGGAAGGGGATTCTATAATAATAATAAAGTAACTTAAGTCTGACTTGTTTTTTTTTTTATTTTTATTCTTAAACAGAAATATAAGTTACCTCTGTTACAATTAGTGTTATACAAATATCACAACAATACCATTGTTCTTATAGCAATAATTTTACAAATTTAAGATTATATGAAGAAGAATATACATACTATCGGTATAATAATTGATTTAATTATCAATATGTGCTAATTTTGATAACCAATATTAATATTGGCTAATATTGCTACCATTGAAATATAGGATATTTTCTATCGGTTTTTTATTTTAGAACTGAAAATGAAAGTAATGAGTTTAATTTAAATTATGGTCTTGGATAGTTCATAATAATTTAATATGTACATCTTTGATGAAATACAAGACTTTTTACTATGTCAATTGTCACACATGATTCATATCTATATTTTAAAATATCATTACAGTTATTAAATTTATATAGGAGCATCGATACATCCTTAATAATTATTTTTACAAACAATAAAATCGTGTTCTTTTTTTAATTGTTTCCATGTTTTTAAATTATTTGTTAATTAAGTTAACAAAAATAAAATATTTTGTTAAAATAATTTTAAATTATCTAAACAGGTATAATTTAATAAGTTATAGGAAGTTGGATTTAATAAATATTGACGTTTTAAAAATAAAAGTATCGATAGTTTAAATATATACTTATACCGTCACTATAACTTTTTATAACTATAGCCACCCTACTTTAATAGTTTTATACAAACAACTAATCATTTTAGTTCCATATATTATTTGAGTTGTTTTATTTCTCTATAAAAACTGCTCAAAACTATTTAAATTTAACCTTTTTATGTTTGTGAATTTTTAATGCATAGTAGCAATTATTTTATATAAGTTTATTGTTTCAATATTGTACATTGAATTAGAATGTAATAATATAATAATTCTTACATTTTAAAATAAGTATTAGTTGAAATTATAAAGATAAACAACATTGTTGTATGATAAGGTTAACTAAAAACTAAGTTACTATTTATTAAAATAACTCAATTGTTTACTATACAATCAGACAAAAAACTTGTTCTAAGAGTATTTATAATTTTTCAATAAATTATTAGCACAGGCTTTATTGTTTTAACGACTGTTGTATTTGAGGATGACTATCCTTTTTAGCTAATGGTTTATGTTTTGGATTGAGTGAATAATAAATAAATAACATAGCAGCTGACAATCTGATTACAGAATCATTGTCCATATAATCTTTAATCCAATCCACGCGTCCCCATTTCATACACTAAAATTTGATATAATACAATATATTTGCAAAAAACTTGTTATACACATTGTAACACAAATAAAAAAAATAATTACCTGATATTCTTCTTCCATTTTAGATAACAGAACAGCATCTTTTACAGAAATATCTTGATGTAAGCAACATATAGCTAATACTATGGATTTCAAAGTTTCGACAGCATATAAAACACCTAATGTTCATATTAAATATATTTCGTTATAGTTTAGAATATCTAATTTAAATATAACATTGTGTTGAACAAACCATGAAGTGCAGGGAATCCAAGTGATAATAAGTACTTCTCAATCAATGATTTGGTAATTGCATCAAAACTTTTAACATAAATTCCTTTGGATGGTTTTAAATTAATTTCAAAATATCCATTAAATTTGTCAATTAATGGCAACCATTTTTCTGTCAACATTTTTTCTAGTTCTTCATCTGTCTATATAAATAATTTAAGAATTATTCTGAAATAATTTTTAAAAATTAAATTAATGTTACATCAGAGATGAAAAATACTGTATCAGTCTCTAAGTAAGATAATATTTGTTGCACTACTTCATGTTCTGAAAGATCACTGGGATTATCTACTGCCATAAAACATAACTTTGTCTAAAAATAAAAAAAAACATATTATATTTATTTATGTATTTGTATAAAACATTATCATAATATACCAGGTGCATTGGATCTAATTGAATATTTTCTTTCTGCATCCCCCATTCTTCAGCAACTGCAAGAGCTAGCGCTTTACTATTTATTACAAGTTCTTTGCCTAAAGGTGTTTTCAATTTACTGTTGTCAAGAAGTACTCCATAAGAATCACTGTTTTCAATTATATTTGTAGTCTTATAAAACTTATCTAAAAAACAAAGTATTGTTAGTATTTTATTAAATTTGTGAGTAAATATTAAGAAAATAGAGTATATTCTAAAATGTCATTACCCTAATAAAATATAATAATCATTAATTTTTAATACAGAACATTTAGATTTTTAGATAAATCACTATTTATAATTATAAATTTATCCCAATTTATACTAAGCTATTATTAAATATAAAATAAAATTTAGATTTTTCAAAAGAATCAATCATTTTAATAATCAAACCAGAGTCCAGGCTTAACGAGTGTCAGGATACAATATGTCCTTTAGTTATAAGTTATAACTTCACATTTTCGCAAAATTAATTAATTTAATAAATTTACAAATTATTTGTCACTCAAACGTACCACATAATATTGAAATTCATAACACATAAAAGCTACTAGTTTTCATTAAAAGAGAAATAATAATCGACAAAAGTGCATGAGTGCCAAATTTTGTTTAAATTTGAATAATTAATCATATATATTGCGGCATAATATAAAATCTGTCAGTAGTGGCTCACAGGAAATAATTAAAAATATCTCCAAGACACCCAATCACAGTACGAAACATAGATCACAGTTGATAAAACACAAATTAATAATTTATAGTAAATTAATAACTTACTAATAGCATAAAATCTTCTGGGCTGAAACCAAGTAATTGTTGTAATATTGGGTAATTTAAAATTTCTCTGAAGTTTATTTTTTGCTATAGAAGCAACTATCTGAAACATTTTACCGTTTGCCAATTCTGAAACATTTAAACAGCGGTTTAATTTACAATAATTTTTCAATACGATCTGTAGTAAAATGAACATCAATAATTTATCAATCGTCAACGTATAACAATTTTACGTTTCATAGCTGTCAAGTGATTTCATTAAAACCAAGTACCTTCTTATAACTGTTAGTTTTTTCGGCACTAGTTTGGGAAAAAACGGTTTCAACTAATTAAGACCTATCGTATTCTACATATCCTGCATTTAGTGTTCGCTTCACGCTTGTTTATTATAAACAGCACACTTATCGTTTCCGTATCATAATACGCGTTATCGCAGCGAGAAAAATGATAATGTAACGAAACGGCGACCGCAAAACAGTCGGCGGAGAGCACGAGCGATTACACACAGAGCGATTCGAACGCTCTTTGTTTACACATCTCAAAGATAAGCGCACCACTTTATATTTTGTGAAATACTAGTCTTGATGTTACTGTACATCGTACACAGTGGCGTACAGTGGCGTGGTGATGATATTATTTTGGAGCAATTGCTCCTTCGAAATGTTTGGTAGGTGGTGGTTCCCCTGCCAAAAAATACTTAACTATAAGTATAACAATAGATACATCATAACATTATATTAAATGTTTTAAATGCTAATAAATATTTGGCGCACAAATGTAGTGTATATGATCCGTTACACTAGAAACAATTTGTGCTAACTAATTGCAATACCAGGGGCGTATTTAGACTTACTTCTAGGGAGGTCGACTCAAATTTTTTCTTTAATTCAGGCTCAAAATGTACAAGTAAAATTTTTGATAATATTTATATCAGGTGAATTCTTAATATTTGTGGTTTTTTTTTTTTTTTAATTTAATGCTAGATCCACTTAGAATGGTCTTTTGTGTAGTTCTTTTTTAACATCTATCTGTGTTTTGAAAATTTCGCTTGTGTTTTATCTAATTTTTCACTAAGTATGGACTGGGTCTTCAATCAAAATAATATCGGTATATTATTTATCGTTATGGGACATATAAACGTTATAAGCTATTGAGCGTTTAACGCTATAAATGATTTAAACGTTATTCAATTTAAGCGTTTAAACGTTATACAAATTTAAACGTTTAAAAAATGTTCCGTTTACCGTTATTGACAATTATAACGTTATGAAAAATTTAGCGTTTTGTGTTATTTAAATTAGTGTAAAATTTGAAACGTTTTCAAATGTAGTAATACTATAAAATAAATCATAATTTTTGTTTCTTAGTAAAATACTCATTACTTATATAAAAATTGTCTTGGTCTAAAAATGCATGGGGGGGGCGATTGCCCCATCGCCCCCCCCCCCAAATACGCCACTGTGCAATACCAATGTTAACAACATTATTCAAAATTCACATACACTGCACAAATCAAGATACAAGATAATTAATGAGTGTAATAAATTTACTTGATAATTAAGTAAGTTCATCTGATTATACAAATCAGTCTAATATACGTATATTTTTTAAATTGTAAATGTTTTGTTGTGGTGGAAATCCCGTTAGGATGAAAAAAGGGTACCTTTTGGTATATACATTTTTGCTCTTCACCAAAAATTAGTTCAACACGCTACTGGTGGCGTAACCAAAGGTTTTTCAATGGAAGGGGGGGGGGTTACGATTTAGGTCTATACAATAGGTAGGTATACATAAAACATATTATTTTAAATTTTCTTGTACTTTATTTAAAGCATTTAAAGTCAAACAATATTTTAATTACATTAAAATTTACATCAACCGTAGTTTTCTTGTTTTGGTCGCTAATTTATTTAGGACATCATCAGGGTTTATCATTATATCACTGTGTATATTCATCATTGCCAAACCATTCAACCTATTTTCACATGTGGTGTTTCGTAAATATGTTTTCAATCTTATTAATGTTGAAAAAGATCGTTCAATGTTAGCAGTTGTAACTGGGAGAGTTGTTAAAATTTGCAAAAGTTTGAAAGTAGAAGGGAAAATTGATGTGTTACATTTTTGAAGAGCATCGATGGCATTTTTTGGTAAATCTTTAGTTCCTATAAATTTTTGTTGCCAAATTTTAATTTCACTCACAGCTGCTAACACACTGCAATCTAAATCGCCTCAACACATTTCAACTAGCTACTTAATTTTTTCTTCATATTGTATAATATTGGATGATGGTAAAATAACGTTAACATTTTCAGTTATAAATCTATGAGATAAAAATCGATCATTTAATTGATTTAAAAAATCAAAATTTTTAAATGGAATGAATAAAGATATTCTGTAATAATCCTTAAGGTACGTCGTGACGCCCGGCGTTAATATGTTAAAATTTTCATTTTCCTCGACAGAGGACGATGCTTTAATTAATCTCGTACAAAATAACAAATGTATTTGCGATAGTAACCATAAAGATTACAGAGATAATAATGATGATATTATATAATAATTATCATCATATAATTCTAAGTAATTGACCCTTTCGTAAAAGATTCGCGGTCTTCGTTGCATCGCAATAATGATGTCGTCGTCATCGCTCTCACTCTCGTCATCAAATAATATTCTACGATACATTATAATAGTATCTTCACAGACAGAAAAATTGTACGCAAAAACGAAATATTCAAATACGACACACAATAATTATTCTTGAAAGCAAAAAATATGTTAACAGTGATAACACGTGATAATACGTTTTAATATTGTTGTTTGAACTAAGAGTTATCTCTTAACACTCAAAAATATTAGGAGCTAAAATCTGGGAGTTAAGATTTTCGATAACTTGATGTTACCCCTTAACGCTAGGTCGTAAAATTATTTTTTGAGTTAACCTCGTGTTATTGGTAACTTGCACTTTAACTCTTGTTGGTGAAACCGGCCCTTAGAGATTCTATTTGGAAAAATATATCCGATGAAGTAGGAAGATCAAGTACAAATTGAAAATATAATTCTTAATTATTTATAATTTATAGTACTAACTTTCATACTCGTACAAACTTTATTTTAATATTTATTATTTATTCTTTGTCCTCATCCCACCTATTGTATAGGCGATGACTGTAAAAAGTGCTGGAAGAATATTCGGGACATGCACTTGAAACAGAAAAAGAAACTTCCGACAGGATCAGCTGCTCCATATAATAAAAATTGATGTACAATGAATTTATCATTTTTGGATACCGTTGAATACGAAAGAAGGTATGCCCATACTTATAAGTTATATTGTATTATAAAGTTGATTCATAATAGTTTATGTATATCAGAAATTACATAGGTGGATCTACGAGGTGTGCCAAGACACATCCTAATATAAATCAAAAAAATTAATTAATTTTACACATTTAATAATATATTGTTATTATTATACGAGTATTAACCTTTTTTAAATATATTTATTTATATTTTTGTATAAATTTAGTATAATATCACTATAGTTAATATTTTTGAATTATTTTGATTTTAGTACTATTACAAATATGGGCATAACTGATGCTTATACGTCAAATGCTTTTACTCTAATATAGACGAAATTGAAACTAAAGACCAAAAAAACAAACAAAACGAAAAAGAACAAACAGAAAATAGTATGTCCGATTCGCCATCACATTCATATGCAGGAAAACATATTCGGTCAAAAGAAGATAAGATTTCTGTTATTTTGTCCAAACGATCAAAGGATTCCATACTTAGCATTCAAGAACAAAATAAACTGTTGGCTACAAGCATGAAAAACCTGTGTAAAGAGGATGATATTGATATATTTTTTAAAAGTGTTGCAATGACAGTTAAAAAAATGCCACCGCAAGCGATTAAAGAAGCCAAACTTAAGACACTTACGTTGATCACTGAAATATATGACAAATATTTAACTCATCAAAAACTACCTTATCAAATACCGCCAGATTATAACAATATGTACCAATGTCAATTGAGTTCCCTAGCCAATTCATACAGTACCTCAATATCGTCACAAGGGTTTTTGCCGTTCAATTATGGAGACGAGTCTAATGCTTAACCTTTGAAATTTTTTTAATTTTAAATAGTTGTTGCTTATAATAAGTTAATTTTTATACCGATTATTTTTTATTTACTTTTGTTATATTTTAAAATGCACTTATTTTTATTCAATTTTGTTTGTTGGTTTTATTTAGAAACAATAAATTAACCAAAAGACTGGTTTAAATTAAAATATATTTCGTTGTTATTTCCAAGAAGTTTTATTACTACTATAAAGCTGGTTACACACATAGCGTTTCGTATGCTGCGTTTTCGTGTTTCGGAAACGCTGCGTTTTACCATTTAAAATTATATACTCATATTAAAATATGTATATTCACACGATAAGTATAAACGGAGCGTTCGACAGTTAGTTAGAAATAACTGAAATAACTGGTATACTTATGAAAATAACAAAAATAATATTTACTCTTAATTAAATTAATTACAATTTTTTTTGTATAATTTTTTCATAAAAATAATTAATGTATTGTATTGTATGTCTAATTTATTATAATTCTATTAGAAAAAACAATATCAAATTTTGCCTCAAAGTCAGTGCTTGTTTTTCCTCTAGAGATATTGGCTCAAGTACACGTGATGTCGGGTTCTTTGATATTTCTTCTTGAATCAAAGAAAAAATTAAATTAAACTGTTGACGATTTGGACGAAAAAATTCCCGAAATTTTTCATCGTCGTTAATAAGATGTCCACCAATCAAATTTTTAAAGAATCCTTCAGAGTTCTTCGTGGAAAACAAATTTTTAAATGGTTTTCTTTTTTTTTTTTGGAATTAAGTTCATAAGTAACTCGTTTTCCATTTCTTCATCACGAAGTAATAACTCACAAATAATATTATTATTACCTATTAATAATATTGTTCAAAATTAAATTTTTATTCATATATTATATATATTTTATCTTAGATAAGTAATTAGATAAATTAACGTTATTTATCTAAATAAGATAAAAAATGATGAAAAATGTATCTAGATAATTTATCTAGATAAGTCCCAACACTGATTACAACGAATAAATATAACATCAAAAAATCTTCAGAGTTCAACAGAAAATTTATTTTCAATAGTACCCTTATACAACTCGTTAATAGATTTCATAAAGTATGTTCGCGAACACTTTGATGATTATGAAAGCAATTCTATAGAACTTTTAAATAAGAATATTGAATATCAGAGTTTAAGAAAAAAAAGACGCCAAAAAGTAGACAATTAGATGATACTGATTCTGAAGAAAGACAATTAGATCCAAGAGCGAAAATTATGAGTGATATTCATTATGTTTTTTGTGACAAATTTATATCTGAATTGAATAAACGAAAAATGGCTTATATTGAAGTAGAAGAAAAATTTGGATTTTTATTCAATAAAAATCCTGATGGAAGTGATATTAACAACCAAATAAAAAATGTACAATCAATGTTTACAAATTAACTAGATTTGGATCCTGATAATTTTGCAGATGAATGGTTTCAATTTCATAGTTTAATTTATTCTCATCAAATATCAAGAAATCCCGTTGCCCAACTTATATTCATTAAAGATATGCAAATATCACATGCATTTCAAAATGTGGAATCGTGTCTTCAAATATTTCTTACAATGCCTGTTACAAATTATTCCAGTGAACGATAATTTTCTTCATTAAAAATAGATTACCATCTACATTGAGTTAAGAAAATATAGATGCCCTGGGAATATTATTTATTTAAAGTGATATCACAGCAAACCTGAATTTTTAAGTTGTTATTGACCACTTTTCAAAGCAGAAAGCAAGGAAATGTTTGTGAAAACTGAAATAAAATTAGATTTAAAACATTAAACCATAGGTTCCCAAAGTGTGCACCGCGGCGCCTCGGTGCGCCGCGATGTCTGTATAAAGTCGCCGCGCCGTCATGAAATACTATCGGGTCTAACATTTTCCTTATGATTAGTCATGCTATGACTTAGAGAAGGGCGCCCTGAAAAAACTTTAAATCAAAAAAGGCGCCGTGAGTCGAAAAAGTTTGGGAAGCACTGCATTAAACGTAAAATATTTAAATTGATAAATGTGTAATATCTAATAAAAATACTAATTTAAAAAAAAAGTGTTTTTTTATGTGTTAGTTGTTTTACTTGAATAAATACTAAACATAATAATCATATTTTTAACAATACAATTTTATTTTATGATCCAACTACTCATATACTAATTATATACAGCATTAATTAAAAAATATATTATGCGTACATTTTTATTTTAGCATTGAAGAAAATAGAGGTGGACAATTTGGGGCTCAAAATTGTAAATTGTACGGGGCCCACGAATTGATAAATCAGGCCCTGCTACTCACACTGAACAATGGTCAGTTATGTTCAAGATGTTGATAGGTACATTGCCTTAGGAAAGTGATAGTATTACTATAGTGATGATGAAGCTTTATTATTATTTTCGTTAAATAATCATAATAAACAAAAAAAACAAATGAGTCTATGAAGTAAACATGGAACGTAAAAATTTTGGTAAATTACATCATCTTTTAAAACAACTACGAAGAGATGAATTAAAATTTAAAGAATATTTTCGTATAAATATGAAATAATTTAATTAATTTTTATCAATTATTAAAAAGGAATTAAATCTCAGGGAAAGTGTTACAGCCGAGAAAATATTAGCCGTTTGTTTAAGGTAAATCATTAAACACTTTTTAAAATAATAATACTTTTTAATTATAATATGTAGCCTCATAATTATAATTTATTAGTACTTTATTGAGTTTATGGTAATAATTACTATAATACTTGAGCATAATCATTGATCAGTTAAATTAAATAGTCTCTTTGTTGTTGTGAGTCATCACAAGATTTTGCGTTTTCATACATCAGATTTGTTGTACTTTTTGTACTTGACTTGAAGTTGACGGATGAAACAATGTTTGACTAGGAGCAGGTATTAATATTCGACTGACCGGTGAAGGTGTGTCTAACCTAACCAACGTGCTACAATCAGGTTTTTCAGTACTGATGATAGAGGATGTTGGAGTAGCAGATGGATGATCCAAGAACTCAGTTTCTGCATTTATAATTGCCCTCATAATTTCTTGCTTAATTCGCAGTTGAAAACGTCGAGGAAGTCGTTTTGCACTCTCACACGTATTGACAAAGAAAAAAATCTAGTTCTCCTGGCTGTTTTTTCACTTGATTTTTGTTTCCAATGAATGATATTATTTTGTCAAGGTCACTTTCGTCAGTGTAAGTTCTGTGAAAAAAAAAAATAATAATACTACAGTAAGTGTAAGATCAGTGGCACCGGATCGCCAAAATAAAGGTGTGAAACATTTCATTCTGACACCCACCCACCAATGGATACATTTAGGAAAATGTTAATGACCTCTTTCCCTCAAAAAAAAAAAAAAAATTGCTAGCCCCCTAAAAATCGTAAGTTCATGCATTTGCATGTTCTTTGTTACATTGGAAAATATGCTAATTGAGATAAAAATCCGTTTCATAACAATAGTAATAAAAATCTAAAGTTTAATAGAGCATGTTTTTGCATGTTTTGTGTATATTGGCATATTTGGCATATAGTTGATTTTTTTTTGGGATATTAGCGCATATTATTTTATGTAAATTCAGTGAAATCGTTTTCGTGGAAGTTAAAAAAAAAAAATTAGATCAATAAATGTTTGAATTCATTCTTATATACTTTTCCGAACTTGTTTATAAAATCATAGAATTTTATTAATATTTTTATTTTTTATTGGCATTAAATTTTATAAGTTAAAAGTAAGTACCACGAAAACAATGTCACTGCGCACCACTACCACTCTCTACTTATTGACGTGTCCATTGCAATCTATCTATTTTCGTCACAACGTGTGTTCATTAATTATAATTTTAATAAAATGTAACCGAAGAAAAAATATAAATAGATAATTCTTATTATTTTAAAAAATTCTTAATCGTGTTTTTCCGTGCATAGTTTTTAATGCATATTTGATCAAATTGCATGCCTATTTATGCGTTTTTTAGTGCATGAACTTACGAGCCCTGTTAATTACTATTATTATTATTAAATTACTATATTATATTAATAATATTCTACTATAATATATAAATAATATAAATATTAATATTTTACATTTGAATACCTAATAATAAATGATTATTATTTTAATAAATGTATTGTAAAATACATATTATCTAACTGGCTTTTTCAATTCTTCTGAAATGTTAACCCAGGCATTATTATGCATGTTCTAGTTTCGATATTCGTCCAGATTTTTCTTCCAGAGACAAGTATACCTGTGTACTTCCTTTATTAGCTGCTTTAGTAACATTAATTCGAAGACATAACGTAGCACTCACGAAAATTAATAAAATATAATATATTTTTTTATTTATTTTTCAAAAAATCTTTAACTTAATCTTAAGATGAGTTTCACTTAAAAGTTAAAACTGCCAAAATAACGTGAATGTGTGAAAAAATGAATGATTGACTGCTCGTCGCTCGTATATCACAGGACACGTTGCATTCAATTTCCGATATCGACACGTGCAATGAATATGCCTGTCGAAACCTGTAACGTCGCGACACATCGCTCAAAAATATAGCCACAAATCAATCATTCGATGCGTCCCCACGTAGTTAAGAATAAAACGTAGCGTACACTATTTTGTGTGGCCATTTACGTCTTCAAGATAGAAAACTATTTTTAATCCGTATAACGAATATCGCGAACATAGCACGCGTAGCGTGCTGTGTGGCCTCAGCTTAAATCTAACGATCTGAAATTTCCATCATTGTTATCAGCGCTGCAGATAAAAATAGGACCACCGTCATTATCTCCCGCTACTTCTCGACGGCCACAAAACATAATTGTTTCAATAATTGGAACCAGTTTAGCACTATTTTTCAAAAATAGGTTTTTATATGCTGAATCGATAGCGATATAGATATCGGGTTTTATATTATCCGTTATTTTTAAAAATTCATCCACGCGTATAACAGACACTTTATGGTAGGTATGAATAAAATAATGCAATAAATATTAAATAATAGTAATTTGAAATTCTATAATTATTAGCTTTTAAAAATTAACTGTACAGCTGTATATATTATATTATACATTATACCACGTGGAGCGACGCGTAGGTCCCCATGTAAGGCTGTACACCAGAAAAATTATAAACACAAAACTTTTTGTATGCTATCGGTTTCAGAAACTAGCTTCACGTTGATCTGTATACTGAAGAAACTTAAACAATAAAACTAGGTATAAAATAACGAAGTATGATAAGTTATAAAATGTCTGACGAGGATGACGTGATTTTACTTTGGTGGTGAGCACATAAAAAAAAAATGTCTAGTACTTTTCTAGTACTAGTATTTTAAGTATGTAGTATGTAATTTTGTATTGAATAGTAAATAAATTTATAAATCAAATTCTATGATAGAACATAATTCACTCAGTAAAAAACTAAAAAAAACGTGCATAACTAATGAAAATGTTCATGAAACTGAAACAATGAAACCAGAATGACAAATTTCGTGTTATCAATTTCGTAAACAACTATAAATAAAAATAATTACATGAAACTCGGTGTGTTTCCCTATGCAAATATATCGGCTAGTTTCATGTAATTATAGTTTCGAGTTTATAATTTCTCTGGTGTACGGCTCGCTTAAGTATTTCCCTTACATAGTGGGTGCGCAGTAAGCTCCAATATAAAAAAAAGGCCGAAACGTCACAACATTTTTTCTACCTACATGTTTAATTTTCACTTCACTGCATACAAGGGCATTAGAGCACTGCGTTGTTTCGATGGTTATAGTAAGAATATTATGATTTTTATTGATATCAATAATAAAAACATATAATATGACAAAGCAGTTGAGTATTAAATTTCACTGTTAGAGTGTACTACCATTGATTATAACTACTAGTATTTATGGTACTACGTATTCCATATATTTAAAATAAATTCACGTAAGTAACATTATGAAATATCCATTATCAGACAATGCTTGAATGTGTGTTATGACGAAAATAAAATCAATGGGAAATTCAAAAAATATATCACACTTCAGGATATGTCTGTTACATGATTAATATAGATACCAAGATAATAATTTTATGTTGAATACTGTATAATGACGTATTTTGTTCTAATGCATTGGTGCACTTCCATGCAATATAGGCACTAATAGTTATTACTATTCTCGACTCCGTCAATTTTTGATTTGTAGTTGTTTGCGTAGTTATTTTTTGATTAGCTATTATTACAAGATTATAAAATTAAAAAGAGTAATTTAGTAAATAACGAATCAGAAATTCAATGAATTTTAAGCATACCAATTGAAAGCGACGATGAGTTTGCTGATATTGGTCAAGTGATGACGAAATATTCGAATTGCCCATAAGTTGCTTATTTTTATTTTCATAATGTTAGTATTTTATTATACTTAATATTTGTTAATTTATAATTAGGAATTATTAGCAAATGACTACCGCATTTTAAATGAAGCTGTAGACGATGCTGATAATATTCTAAATTATCCTGTGTATTTTTCTGAAGATAATATAATAATTTCGATACTTCGATGCAAAAATACGTTTGGATGCGTATGTAAACTACCAAAATATAAATTTCAATAATTTGCTAAGTGCGATATTTTTTTATGTTATAATACAGAAAGAAATTGCTTCAATTTATTTCATTATACCTAACTGAATTTTAACTTTCAGAAAAATTTTTTAGAATCTAATTTGTGTTTAAATAATAATCATGTATTTAACATTTTATTCTATAACTGCTTTTTAACATAATACACGGTGTTTCAAAAGTCTTCATCTGATTACGAACTGATATAGTTCGGCAACAGTTAATCGCAGGTTAATGACCGATGTATTAATGGAAAGATTATATAACTAAGTTTATTTTAAGTTATTTAGTTGATAAATTTGGCACCGTAATGGTTAGTGAACTAGGAACCGTTAGTTTGTTTCGTTATGACGACTCCACAACAGAAAGCGTTTTACGTCCTACGTTTCAATAAGTGCGAGTCGGCATTAACCATTCAACGTGATTTTCGAAGAACTTAGGGAACTGAAGCTCCTACTACTCAAAGGATTCGACGTTGGCACCAAACGTTCCAAGAAAGTTGTTGTCTGTGTGCACAGAAACGCTCAGGTCGACCTTGTTTCTCTAACGGAAACATCGAGCATGTTCGACAGTTTTGTTCGAAGTTCATCCCTGTTCACCACGTTTCCCTGACCTCACAGCGTGTGATTTTTTTTTATGGGGCTACATAAAAGATAAAGTGTATGTACCACCATTACCTACAACCTTGGAAGAGCTTAAAATTAGAATCAAAGATGCTGTTCATGCCGCGATATCAGATATGATCAGCAACGTTTGGGAAGAATTTGATTACCGTATAGATGTGTGTCGGGCAGCCGGTGGGGGTCATATTAAACATTTGTAACCAAAGTAAATAAAACTTGACTATTTTAAGAATACATTTTACTTTATTTTACCCTTATATCTTCATTTTTAATATAAATATAAATTTTTGAAATTGGATGAAGACTTTTGATAGACCGTGTATATCAATGACGCATGGAAGTGCATGGGCCTACATGAATTTTAAAATTTGAGACGTAATAATTATTGTATACCGATGGTGCATGGAAGTGCATACATGCATTGCTTGAAATTGAGTCAAATTGAGTACTTAGATTTCATAACTGAATTTTTTTAATAATTTTATTAGATTCTACAGGTTTTAATCTATTAAAAAACATTTTTTTTTATTTATTAATAAAAATCATGCAGTGAAGGGTTAAATAAAACAATTCATTCTTTATGTTTAACTTGTATAAATTATAAATGTTTCAAATTAATATTCATAGATATATATCTTTTATTTAAATTGCATACATTAAGTAAAAACCATATAAAAAATTGCATAAAAAATGCAATGTCAAATGGAATTTTAATTAGTTATTAATTATACACTTAAAAATAGTTTATTAAATATAATAAAATAAAAATTATATAATAATATTTAAAGTAGCATTCATTATATTGATCAACAATCATAGTTAAATTGTATAATAAATATCTCTCCCTCAATGATCATCTTTTAAAAATCATTTCCTTAGTTCAATTAAACAATTATAAATTGATTGTACAACAAACTACGGATAAAATAGTATTGTCGGCTAATAATTCCTTCCACCAGAACTTTTCCTGAAGAATTCTAAAAAAAAAATAATATACATATATATGTATAAATTTGTATTCAAAAACAAAAAAAAAATAATTATCATAAAGAATATTATGAATAAAGCAGTTTAAAGTTGAAATTTTAAAACAGAAAAATAAAGTTTAACTTATATTTAATTAATTCACATAACTAAGAATCTAAGGATTTCTTTATGAAAAACTAAGATTCTTAAAAATACAATTTTTTCTTTTATTTAATTTAAAATTATATTTACTCTTCGAACACAAACAGTACGGTTGCAACACCATAAGACACCTCTCGATAGTTCACATGGAATATTATTTCTGGATAAAATTTGTTTAAAATCAGACAATTTTAAACGGTTTATAAATACAGTCTTATGTGGAAGAGTTTCCTGTAACAGAAATGCACATACCATTGAAGAATGTTATTTATCAGAATAAACAAAACTAAATCAAACATACATGTTCTGCTAGAGGTTCTAATGTATAAATCTGATCATCTATTCTTGGCACTGGAAATACATATTAAAATAATATAAACAAATTTGAAATCAATTTTTATGAATTAATAAATAGATACTTTACTTTTTTCAGGTACAGCTACTTGGTCAACATTCATTTTATTATCTTTTTCATTTTTTAATTTTAACTTGGCATCTACATATGCTAAATCTCCATTTGGTCCTTTTTTAAAATTTAAAGTTGAAAGAAGCGCATCAGTCAAACGTACCTTAAATTATCGCACAATTAAATTACCATTTCAAATAAATATTATAAGGTGAATAATAACTAATTTATTACTTGATAAATATGAGATTCAGAAGTTACATTCATACATTGTCCAATTCTAGGTGAAAAAACTTTACTGTCTGTAAATACATTGGCAAAGTTCAAAACAACCTTTGTACTTATTGGGTTACCTCTTACTAATATCAAACGTCTAGGTTTTAGTGCAAGTACAATTTGTTTTAATGATTCTCCATCAGAACGACCTTCAAAATCAATATGAACAATCTTTGCTGCAACGTAAATAATCTCTTCATACTTCAGACACTTAGATGGAATATCAATTTCTTCTTCATCATCTTCTGTTTCCTTATTTAATTCATCTTTATTTGGTTCTCCTCCCGGAATAATATCAAATTTCATGAATTCATCTTGTCTAAAATAAATAATAAGTACAAATATTAATTTAAATGCAAACTAAAAGACATTTAAAGACATTACTTTATAATTTCTCCATATGGGTCAAATTTGCATTTTTCCTCATAATATGGAAACATAGGGGGCAATTCTTTCTTTGAAGATTTTTTTGCTGTGGATACTTCAGCATCTACTAATAAATCATGCTTGCCTCTCATAGCCTCTACTTCTTCTTCAGAATCAGAACTGACTTGTTCACTAAAAATATTTATAATTTTTTAAATAACTTGAAAAAAGTAATTTATATACCAAAATATTGAATACAAGATAATACTTTTCAGTAGCTTCCATTTTTTCAGCATTATGTTTGATATTATATTCTTCTAACTCAGCGTCGTCTAAAGGTACGCGTTTTTTAATAATTAGTTTAATATGCCTATCACCACCTTCATCAATTAAATCACGTGCTAATGTACCATATGCAGTTCTGTATATTTGGTATATTTGTAAATTTGTATAGATTATATTTTAATATAAATAATAAAAATAAATATCTCATATTATTATCTTATATTACCTGTCTGTAAGAATAATACTATTTTTTGGATTTGTAGCCCACAGAAGGAAAACTTCTCTCGAAAATCCACTTTCGAGATCTGCATTACTAGCTAATACAACCTTAAAATAAAAATCAAAGTTAGTAGATGACTAATTTAACTGAATATTTATGAATGAAAAATTTAGAAATCAAAATGCCATTGAATATTATATGGTAAAAGAACAAAATATACAAAGAATATTTAACTATTTTATAAATTAATCTATCATATGGATATTTTCATTAGACATTCAATATTAATAATAAATAAATATTATATTATACCATAGGTTCGGAAATTTTACTTAAATCATTCATGTTGTGACATAGTTTTACATGCTTGAAAAAAAATGGGTTGTTCCTGGCACCTTCAAAACTTTTCATTAATTTATCACTCATCCATTCAATCTAAAAATAAAGTTAAATAAAATCAGTTCAAAGCAATTAAAGAGAAAGGTTAAAAAAACATACTTGTGATTTTGCGAACTCCACAGTATTATAACTAACATTTGTTAAAAATACTAATGAATAAACACCAAGTCCAGATTCTTTATTGCGCCATAGTTGGTCTAACATATGCATTAACTCTAAAACACGTCCAGCTGTATCAATTGCAATTAAAACATTTCCTTTAACACGAAGGGTTGTCAAAATACAAGCTAAAATCAATACATAAAAAAATTAACTGATATCATGTTATATATTTTAAAATATATTGAATAATGTCATACTCATTAATGCTTCATCACGAGATCTACGCCTAGGTTGTGAATAAGCACCATTAAAACAATCTAATATAAGTAATGATGGTCTTCCAAGTTTTTCCAGGTCACTTCCGTTCAAATGTCTTTCTTTTTTATGATTAAAATCCACCGCATATACAATATCTTCTTCACCTACCTTAGATATTTTCCATATTGTACCACCAACCATATGACCAGCAGGCAACGCTACTATTCTCAAGCCAATTCCTTTACCTGGAATAAATGATAAAATATGATACTTTACATGATATAATTAAAAAATTAAGACAGCAAAACAATATAAAGATTCTAAGAATTTAATTACATATAGTTAGTATAAAATGATAAATAAAAAATAATCGGATAATAATCGTGAAATAAAAAATGAATTTAATTTAATTATAATATTAGTTTCAATAAAAATAATACCTTTTAACGAAACAATTTGATTATATTTCACTTGAATAACTTTATCAAAAGCAGAATCGACATCATCTAAATTAAATAAGGTAAAATCTTCCACATTGCACAAAGACTATAGTAACAAAAATACAATAAGAACATCATACATACATTTTTAACATAGAAAAAAAATAGGCATTTGAATAAAAATAAACAAATCAAAACCATACTTGATGTAAATCATACATAAACATCTGACCCATCTGGTAAACAGGTATAGTAGCATAAACAGGGCAGTTCAAACCACATTTTCCGACCAGGTACGGCAAGGCTCCAAGATGAAATCTATCGGGGTGCGATAACAGTACAGCGTCTACTTGATGCATATACCTTAAGAAGCAAAACAAAGATTAAGAAAAAAAAAAAAAATTAACCAATCAATTCGATATTTAAAACTTGGGCATACACGCAACACCCACAGTGAACCCAACCTTTTCATTTTATTAATTACGCCCATGCTGAAGCGTTCGTTCCATCCGCAGTCTAATAGGAATTTGAATTCGTCGATTTGTAGTAAATAACAAGGAGGCGACTCGTCCATGGCACCGGACAGAGTGAAAAACTTTATAATGGACGTCATTTAGTCGAGATCGGACACCGTCAACGACAGCCGTGTCAATGTACAGCGTTGGACGACCCCGGGGTAGTTTTGGCGTAGTTGACACGATCGAAGGAGCACGCGCCAACAGGCTGATGTTGTTTCGCCGTTCCGACGGCGGTTGGGGGCGCAAAAAGCGGACCACAAGAAATTGTAAATAAAAGAAAACCAATGTTATTCGTTAAGCTGCTCTCTTGCTTATCTGCGTCTCGAGATCAAGGGTAGTAGCAAGTAAAAGGTACGTTTATCCGTGATTATATAAATGAATTGCAATTTATTTGCAAACAATAATCAAGGAGCTTTATCCAGCAGCCGGTAAAATTCATCAACACAACAATCGCTAGAAAACAAATAAGCGAATAGGATTCACGCACGGTTGTGCCAACGTCGAAAAAGTTTGTCGGACGTTATCATATTATCATATTAATATTATCTATGTTATCATGGTGTAAGTAAATAATAATATTATTATTTGGAAATTGATAATATTCATTATATTACTTATATTTTTAATGTAACAGTATAGATGTCAATGCACCACAAACATTGTTTAAAATCATGAGTTTTCAGTTGAAGAAACCTAGTGCGATTTTTAAACACCTCAATTCATTTGCTGAGAGAAATGAATTCGAACAGAATGCCCTGAAACTGAAAACGTCAGAAGACAGTCAAAATACTGCAAGATCCGAGTTAATAGCGTTTTTTTTTATTGTTAATTTTTTTTATTTGTTTTCCAAACTTAATCAAAATCAATTAATAGTCATCATTGATATTTAACTATTTTTAAAATGAATTAAAATAAATACCTAACAATATACTTATTTAATTTTATATCATAATTTTTGAATTGTAGTGTACTTGAAAATGATATTGATAATTTAACAAGCACCAAACAGTCTTGCGAAGATCTTCAATCTGCATCCACCAAGCAGTGTAAGTATAATAATATCCTAACAAATGCTTTACTTTTTCTATGTATTTATTCATGAAAAATGTTTATTATAAATTTGTCCTCATACTTGCATTATGCAAGTGGATAAATTTTTATACTAATTATAGAACTTTTCTCATAAAAAATGTTATGACAAATTTGTAGATATTTTGTGATTTAGGCAAATATAAAATGCAATTGATATCATATTAATTATTTTATACATTTTTATTTTTTAATAATTTCATTATTTAAAACAATAAAACTATTTCAGCAAGCCGTAATAGTGGATCTCCTAATACTGAATTAAAAAACCATACTACTAAAGAAAATTCTACTATAAAAATCACAAAATCTCAAAAGTCTAACATAGTAAGTAATAATATTTTAATTATTTTGTGTAATCAAGCTATTTATCATCAGTAAGATAAATAAAGAGCAATTATTGCATTTTACTTAAGTTTTAATTTTATCACTAGACAGAAAATAACTATTATTTATTAACCTAAAATATAGTATTTAAATTATCATTTTGATTTCTGGCACTAAAATTCTGTGACATTTGTCAAATTTATAAATTATAAAATTTAATGATTCTGAATTAATTATTCTCTTATAAAGAAGAATACTTCCCAAATAGATAAAATGTTTTCATTATTTAAGGTGGCTTCTACTTCAGAAAATAATAAAAGATTACAAAAGACTAATTTAATCTTAAACAGAAATCATTCTGGTATGTAGTTTTATATTGTCTAAGTATAAAATATTAATAATCTTTTATTGACATATAGATCCAAATTTATCAAAAAAAATTGAGACTTTATTAAATAATGAAAATATGAATGTACTTGATGTTAGATATATGGACGTAAGAAGAGTTTGTTTAATTTACTATTTATATATTTAAATATAAATATATATATATAAAATGATGTAATAACATTTTTAATATTTAAAAATGTCTTTTAGGTAACTAAGAAACTAGAAGCTCATGTTAAAAGTCTAGAAAAATTAGAATATGATATGCTGCAAAAAGTGTTTGACATGTTCGTTGATATACCAGAAAATGTAGCCATTAATATACCAGGTCTTCGAGATCCATCATCTTTGCCTCATTTTAAAAAAGTTAGACAAAAAATTAAAAATAAATTAAAAGTTGCAAGAGCACAATTAAAATCTCAACAAGAAATAATTAAAAAAGAAAACAGCCTTAATGTTTTGAATGATACTTTTATTAGTCCTGATAAAAATATTAAAGAAGAAAAAATTTCAAAAAATATATCAGACAATAATGATATGCTATTAGATGAAAAATTAGAAAATCAAATAAATTTGAACTTGAATTATGATAATAATTCAGTAAAGTTATCAAACTTGCATTCATTTTCTGATATACCTACATCTAGTAATTCATCAATAACCCAATCTAGACTTAATAATTTGACATGTACTGTAACATCATTACATTTTAATTCAAAAGAAAATAATAAAATTAGCCACGACAAATCAGATTTCAATATAAATGTAGATGTTCAAAAATCAACTCCTAGTTCACAAATTATGAATGAAAGTAAGTGTTAAGTTAATAATAACATATTAATATTTTTAATATAATTAATATATATTTTTATAACAATTGATTATTTTATTACAATTTAATTTATTTAGATAAATCAACTACTAGTCAAAATATTAATCTATTGAACTCAACAGAAACAGACTCATCCAAAACTGAGTTGACTAGAACTGATTATGATTTCTCGTGGGAACTATTAGCAGTATTTAAAAGAACTTTTGGACTCCGAAATTTTCGAGAAAATCAATTTGAAGCTATTAATGCTGCTTTGCTGGGACATAATTGTTTTATACTAATGCCAACAGGTGGTGGAAAATCATTATGTTATCAATTACCTGCGGTTATATCTAGAGGCATTACTATTGTAATTTCACCACTAAAATCCTTAATAATTGATCAAACTCAAAAATTAAAATCTCTTGATGTAATTATTTAATTGATTAATAATATTTTAATGCTATTGATCAGAGATTTTCAAATTGTAGTATGTGTATTACTAGTGGTACAAGAAAGTCCATATTTTGGTTTGGAAAATAAATTAAATTTTTATATTTATTTATTAATATTTGTACTCATATACGAAATTTAAAATTATCTATATTATTTTTTATTGAATTTTATAATTTGTGTGAATTAATTTTCGATATAAAAGCTTAAAAACTTTGAACAGTATTATTTATAGATATTAGTGGTGTATGACTGATTTGTAATAAACATATTAAATTTGAGAATCTCTGCTATCGATGAAACCAGAACAAAATTCTACCTCCAAAATCCTGCAAAAAAAAATAAATAAATAAATAAACACGTCTTAAAAGTTCATGTATGATGTAATACATGATGTACAAAACCACTTTTTAAACCGTTTAATAAATACTTTAAACATAATATTATTTGTTTTTTTTACCCAGTGGGATTTTATTAAAAGAGGGTTTTGACAGCAGGAATTTGTACAAACACGACTTTAGATAAATATATATTATTTTTATCCATTATTAACTTTATTTATATTTTTGATATTATAAACCAATTCAATATTTTAATAATGTTGAAATAATTTTGGTGTTTTTAGATACCGGCTGCTCATTTATTAAGTAATATTACAGCTGATGAAGAAAATGAAATCTTTTCTAAACTTTGGGAAGCTGAACCAGGTAGAATTTTTATATGCACAAAATAGAAAGTTTTTACTTTATGAGAAAAACATATGGTTATAGTATGCAATTATAAAATTTATTAATCTTATGTTAATTAAACCACTATAAGACGTCATAATCATACAAATTAGATGTATTATCCTATATTTAACCTATTATAATTTAAACAAAACCATTTATTTAATTTATTTTAGGCATTATGTAATAGTTTATTAATATAAATTTGAGTTCATTGAAATAATTTGCATAATAACAATATTATTTTATATTCAAGGATTCAAATTATTGTATGTTACTCCTGAAAAAGTTAAAGCAAGCAATAAACTATTACAAGTCTTAAACAATTTATATTGTAGAAATATGTTAGCTCGAATAGTTATTGATGAAGCTCACTGTGTTTCAAATTGGGGTCATGATTTTCGGTTTGTATATGGTTTTTTTCATAACAATTATATTATTATATTACATATTTATCACATTCAATTTATGTTTTTTTTTTTTTTTTTTTTTTTTTTAATATTAGGCCAGATTATAAGCAATTAGGTGTATTAAAAGAAAATTATAAAAATGTCCCGATAATGGCATTAACAGCTACCGCAACACAACGTGTTCGCAAAGATATTTTACACCAACTTAATATTGAAGATACAAAATGGTAAAATATTGATTTATTTTGAAGCATATTTTCTTTACAGAATTTTTATTTTCATTTATTTTATACATTCTATTTTAATTGTATATGAGTAACTTATATAATTTATCAAACATAAAAGTATGTTTAAAATGTTTAGGTTCATATCTAGTTTTAATCGACCCAATTTAGTTTATGAAGTAATTCCAAAAAGTGGTAAATCTACATTATTAGAAATTGTCAAACTAATAAAATCTAAATTTGATCGTCAATCTGGTATAATTTATTGCATGACTAAAAAGGAATGTGACAGTACTGCTGTACTATTGTCTAGAGAAGGAATCAAAGTAGCAAGTTACCATGCTGGGTTAACTGATAAACAAAGAAATAATATTCAATTGCAATGGACATCAAATAAATTGAATGTAATTCATTTTAATTGTATTTAAATTGTCTAAACTAAATTTATAATATTTTCAAATATTTATATCAGCTAGTTTGTGCTACGATTGCATTTGGCATGGGCATTGATAAACCTGATGTACGATATGTTATACATTATTCATTACCACAATCTATTGAAGGTTATTATCAAGAATCTGGTAGAGCTGGCCGAGATGGTGATGTTGCACACTGCATTCTGTTTTATGTCTATTCAGATATGCATCGTATACAAAAACTCATTCAAAGTATGTAAATTGTTATTCTTGTAAACGTTTTATTGTTCTTAAAAATTGATGTAAATACAAAGTTTCTTAAATGTACCATACATAAGTATGAATTAATTAATATGATCTATATGGCAATAAATATGATTTTAATTTACTATAAAATGTTTTTTTTTGTTTCAAAAAAATGTTATTTATAGTAATTAAATAAATAATTGTTGGAAATCAATTTTAAATGTATTAACTATTTTTAGTTGGAAACGGAGCGACTTTCGAAACAAAAAAAGTACGTTTGCAGAACCTTTGTAGAATTGTATCATACTGCGAAAACAAAACTGACTGTCGTCGTGCTTTACAACTTAACTATTTTGATGAAATATTCGATAGAGTTCAATGCATTTCTAATGAAGAGACTATGTGTGACAATTGTCGCAATAAGGTATCTAGTTATTTATTAACATAAATAATTTAATGCTTTCTCTGTCAATTTAATTGAGTAAGGGCAGTGATTCCAAAACTGTGCTCCGCGGAGTCCTCAGAGTTTCGCTATCGTTTCTAAGAGGCTCCATTTATTTTACCATTGAAAATGTAAAAACATAACAATTATTAATCGTTATTTAAAACAACAATCATATATATTTTTACAATATTCCATCCACTCAAATAAAATTCATCAATACGTATGAAACAATATTAAAATTTCGATAGGAAAATTTAATTTTTAATTTTAGACAATACGAATTACTATTCCAGTTACTTTCCGGCCAAATATGTTGTGTATATTAAAATCTCGAAACGAACAGATCATTCTGAGTTTCCTCCTATATAAATATACCTATACCGTGTAATATGCAGGTCTGAATTAATACCTAGCCCCAAGGCACAGTAATTTTAGAGCTAATAATGCCCAGCAGTGTCCAGTATTAAAATGGTAAAAAACCTCTTTGACAAAGGAAGTGTTGAATCTCAAAGTTAAATTTTTAAAAACAAAAATATTTACAATATAAGAATCAAATATGAACTTTTATATGATAACTAGAGCTTGTATGTTTATGACGGCATATTTTTTTTGCGCAACCAGAATTATAATCTAATATTATAAAAATTCAATTTATGAAATCTCGATTGCAAATATGAAAACTTATTTTGAATATTTTTGCATATTTGAGCATATAAATGCATATATCGATTGTTTTTAGATTAAGTAGCATATATTTATGAATTATTTTATTTTTTACCCCTTTGAGGGGTGATGCAAAATGGAACTTGGTGGAGGAACGCAGGATAAAGCCAAGAATCTTAATTGCCCTGCAACAAATGTCTTCAATGTCTTTGGTAGGGGAAAGATCACGAGTAAACTTAAAACCTAGGTCGCATATAGAGTCACTAGGAGATTTAATAGTAATATTATGATTAACGCAAAGGAAATTGAAATGAGAATGGGAACTGTAGAAAGAAAATACCGAAAATTTGGATATGTTCAGGGAGAGACCTAGAGACTCACCCCACAACACTAAATTATTGAGATCATGTTGGAAAAGAGTACTATCAGATATAGAATTAATACGAAGGTACAACTTATTATCATCTGCAAACATAAGAAGTTTTATTTATTTATTTATTTATTGAATAATAAAGTAGTTTTACATGAAGAAGAGCAAGAGGAGCAGAATTAACAAAGAGGAGAAGGGAAAGAACCGCACCTTGAGGTACACCGGAAAAAGGAACAAAGGCAGCAGAGGACGAACCAAGGACAGAGACATATGTGTAGAGATGATGGTTAAATAAATATGAGTTGAGCCAAGAGAGTAAGGGATCGCCAATACCGAATTGATTTAAAGTATTTATGAGAATACTGTGGTCCACACGATCGAAAGCCTCGGAGAAATTCGTATAAATTACATCCACCTGTTTAAATTCCTGAAAAGAGTTATAATTGTAAGAAGTAAGTGCCAAGTTACAAGTAGTGGTAGAACGACCTGGCCGAAAACCGTACTGTGCATCCACAAGAATATAATTGAGAGGAAGACGAATTAAGAACGATAGATTCAAAGACCTTAGAGAGATGGGAAAGAAGATTGATTGAACGATAGTTTGAGACAAACTTAGAATCATCAGATTTAAGAAGAGGAGTAATGGAACCAATTTTTGGAGCAGCAGAAAACACACCAGAGTCAATAGACTTGCGAAATAGAAAAAAAAGAGGCCATGAAATAACATTACTTAACATAAATAAGAAGTGGCTTTGTAATCCGTCGGGTCCGATAGATTTGATGTTCCGGAGAGAACACAGTGACTTACTGACGTCATCCAAAGAAAAGAAAGGATGAGAAGGAAGAATAAATTGAGAGATTTGGATGTTAGAAGATAAAGAAACTGAGGAAGGAGAAAATGCATAGATGGAAGAGAAATACTTAGAGAAGAGATTAGCGGCGTCAACAGAATTAGTATTGGAGACAAGACCGTAACTGGAAAAAAATTTCAGGGGGGATCTAACATTATTATTTAATACAATTTATAGTTAATAAACTATATTCGCCGCTAAAATGTTTCTACTTTTGAAAATTTCGGGGGGAGGGGGGGTCCGGACCCCTGGACCCCTTAGTTACGGCCTTGACTGGAGAAGTCGTCATAAACTAAATTAGCAGGAATAGATGAAGTTGAGCGTGATTCTCCGTGCCTAAAACAGGCACGGAGAATAGAAAAAAAGTGGTAGTTAACTAAGGTAAGTGAAGATTAATATTTAGCATGAGCTTGATTTTTTAGATAAACAAAGTTTTTAAGCTCAGGAGTATACCACGTGGGAAAATTAGAATGAGAAATGGATATATTGGGGACAAAAGAAAGGATAGACGAATGTAGAGCATCAAGGAAAATACACATCGATTCATCAGTATTATTTGAACAGAAGGTATGTTCCTAATTGTTGAAGAAATTGATAATCAGCCTTAGAGAAGTCAAAAAACGAAAGAGGCTTAGTTAGTGTAAGAGCAGAAAGAGGAAATGATAGGGTGAGAGTAAGAGTGGGATGGAAGGAATCAGGAGGAACTGCAAATTTGAATGCAAGAGAGACCGATATAGATTTATAATTTGTAAAGATTAAATCAAGAAGGGAACCGTGAGAGTAAAAATAGAGTTAAGCTGAAAAAATCCATGAAGAGAGGAAGTTTCAAGACCTTACAAACCAAACAAATAGTTAAATAAACGTAACAGGTGTAGGAAGAAGAAAGGAAGATTCCTTTCTTAATAAGTACTTCCGCAATAAATACACCACCTTCATTACTAGAGAGTAGGAATCTATTACATTATATGTATAATATTAAAAATGGTCCATATTATTGTAAATTATCATTACCGTTAATTATGTCATTTTCGAAATATCAGCAAAATTATTGTTGTGCAGTGTAATACTGATACTTAAAGTGCTAGCCTATGAAAATTTAACATTAATAGATCGAAAACTAATTAATATTTTTTTTCATATTTATTAGCTGTGATTTTTTGTAATAAAGTAATTTTAAATACATAAATTCAAAATATACAAAATATACAATATTCAAAAGAGTATATATATTTTTTTAATTAATATTAACAATTTTTTTGCATATATTTGTTGAAAAAATAGGTATATTTAATACATTTTATGGTACATAATTGCATATTTTGACATTTTATAATGCATATTTTTATGAAATTTTGATCATTTACATCCGAGCTCTAATGATAACAATTTTAACAAATAAAATATTAAAAACAATTAATTGTATTATAAAATTAGTTTTCGAATACCATAAAAAAACAGTTTTTTCGTACCATTTTCATAGTTGTTACAGAACTACTTATCCAAAATGGAAGAAAAAAAATAACAATAGTGTAGTAAATACCGTAAATATAACCATAAGCGTGCACACGGGGTAGTCAGGGTAGGTACTTGACTATTCTGTGAAACTTCCCACCCTCACCAAAATATTCAATATGATCACAATAATAAATAAACATATTATTTTCAACCACTTCGAAACATTAGTTAACGTTAAAAAAATGTAAGAATACTGGAGAAATATAGTTATTAAGTTAAATGAAGTTACGAATGCAAATTTTTTGTTAATATTAAATGATAATGTGTTATGTTTGACTACCCTGCCAGTTATGTCTGCACACGCTTATGAATATAACTTTATAGTTACAATACTTTGTAACATTTTTTTTTTTGCAAATGATTCAATTACTTTTACGGTATCGATTTCATGGAGCAATTTGTGTTCAAGTGCAAGTAATAATGAAGATAATTTATTTTGTCCAAAAGTTTAGGGATAAGCAACTCGAAGTTATTAGAGGGCCAATTTTTAGAAAATTTAAATCTAGCTGGCCAGAGTATAGAAAAAAAAAGAAAAAAAAAAGTCATTCAAAATATGAATTTTAATTAGCATTTATATATATGGAAATAATAAATTCAATAAACACGATAGCATAATCCGAATGGTGCGAAAAAACTGATATAGGTAAATAGTTTAGTTACAGCTATGGTTGAAAGCCATACTTATACATACACATGACATTTAGACATTTAACGATGTTTAATACTAGATAGCAATTATTATATTGATAAATTAGAGCATAGACGATAAACTTTAAAATTGTATGATGTAATTTAAAAATATATTACGGGCCAGATAAAAAAGGCTCACGGGTCGAATGCGGCCCGCGGGCCGCCAGTTGCCCACCCCTGCAATAGTTGATATACGAATTACGATAGCAAAAACATTGAAAAAACAATATACGAGTACATGAATCTATCTATGAATAATTATTTTATATATAGAAATAAATAAATACTTAAATGAATGCTTAGTCTGGAGTATTATCATAATTGTAATGTACGACCGATTTCGAATAAAAAAATCATCATCAAGTGTAACAAAGTCAATAAAATCATGATTTAGGCTAAGCATTTATTTATTTATTTTTCTATATAAACTATTTATTAATATATTATATATATATTAGAATGTTCTTACTGATTTATTTGAATACAATTGATTCTTATTTTTTTTTTCTTTCTCAAAGAACTATACTTATAATAGTTTTTATATTTTTAAACAATTTCAGCTATCTACAAAATTAATTGATATCACTGAAGAAAGCATCAAATTAATTACTGCTGTTCAAGAAATTTGTGGTTCAGACAGTAGTTGGAAAAATAATTTTACATTCACTCATTTCGTGGACATTTTTAAAGGATGTAAAACTCAAAAAGTGAAATTACATGGTATAATTTTTAATTATTCAATTCAATGATTTATATTTCATGAGTTTGAAACAAAATAAAATTAATCTCATGATTCAGGCCATGAACGCTCCAATATTTTTGGTTGTGGTGTACATTGGAATCGACATGATGTAGAGCGATTGATAAATAAATTAATACTTGAAGGATATTTAAGAGAAGAGATGGTGATTGCTAATAAATCTGATATTATGAATGCATATATTCGAATTGGTCCTGTAGCTGAAAAGCTTCTTAATGGATCTGTCAAGGTAAATTCATAATAACTTATAAAGTAACTTTAAAATTAACATTATTTTTATCAGTTATCACTTGCCTTGAGTTCAAAAAATAATACAGTTGCTGATCAAACTTCTTCTAGTAAAAAAGAGCCAGCGATAAATCCAATGCTAAAAGAAATACAAGAAAAATGCTATGAAAATCTTATGGATGTGTGTCGTGGTTTAGCTGCTTCGTTAGAAATCAATACAAGTGCTGTCATGACGGTCCAAGTTAGTTGGATAAAATATTAATTTCAAAAATAAATTGTTAATAAAATTATGCATAAATATTTCATTCAGAAGTATAAATTATCATTACTTTTTTTTTAAAACTAAATGTAAAAAAAAGTGTAAATATCAGCATAAACATATTTAGTAACCATTCAATTATAGTTTTAACTGTAATTAATTATAAAATGCATTTGTTTGTAGGCAATTCGTTCGATGTCACTTCTAATGCCAGAAAACGAAGAAGATATGTTAAAAATTGATGGTGTTACAAAATCTAATTTTGACAAGTTTGGTGAACCTTTATTAGAAATTACACGGCAAGCAGCTACAGAAAAGTTAGGTAAAAATACAAGTATCTTATTTTTATTATTTTGCTCGTGTTAATATATTATTATAGTATATCTTACTTTCAAAAGCTTGATTATGAAAACTAGAGTAAAATCATATATTTATTATTAAATTTAATGTAAGCAATCGATTAAATTATTAAGATTATAACTTGCCTATATTTTTTCAATACTTATAAAAAATAAATACTGAAATATATATTTATGATTGATTTTGTATACTTGGTAGTATATAATGAAAAGCATTTTTTTTTTCGTTTTTCAATAGAAATTTTAGGTACTGAAAACAAACAAAACTTCAATGAAGCCGATAGTAACAGTGATTATAATCCAGAAAATAGTTTTAATTCTCCATGTTATGAAGATATGGTTAACCAAATGTTAGAGAGTTCAAGAGGTAAAAAAAGAAAAGCAAAATCTTCCACTAGAAAACCTAAACGGTTTAAAAAAGGCCGAGCAAAAAAATAAATACTAGTGTTTTATTGAATCCATAATTAAAATTAAGACACAATACAATACAAAAACATGTACATATATACTCCGTATATAGTAAACCAAAAAAAAAAGAAAAAGTATACAATTCTTGGTACCTACTGTTTATTTAATACATGATACAGCTATTTATAGATACTATTCATATACTGAATCCTTATTTATAGTAATGTTCCCATCAGTTTTGTTGAGAGTATACTACGCCGACGAGTGTTTGCATTTTTATGATATAGACCAGTGGTTCCCAACCCAGGGCCAACAGGCTACATGTGGCCCACGAAGGAATGTAATGTGACCCGTTACAATTTTTAAAATAAAATAAAATATTAAAAAAAAAAAAAAGTAAACTATTATAAAATACGATTTTTTTTAAATGTATTAATTTTGTTTTCGAACATTTTCAAATAGAAATTTTATATTATAAATCGTGCATTTAAAAGAACGTATTGATCAAATGAATGTGTATCTACAGCGTGTACTTCAATCTATAATCTTTCGGTAGTCCATAAAATAATTGGAAATAAATTCAATATGCACCTACATGTATATTATATACCTACTATGTGTAACAAAATAACATTATTAAAATAATATTGATATTAATCGTATTTTTATATTTGTTGGTCCACTCAAAGATAATTGTTTAACCAAAATGGCCAGCCGAGGAAAAAAGGTTGAACATCACTGTTATAGATGGAGGCGGTGGGAAACGGTTGTAAATATTAACAATTTAAATGCATAAATTGTTAATTTTTATAGAAATAGAAATTAAAATTATTTAAATTAATTGATACAATCGTTAGTACATAGTATACCATCAATATTGCTTCATAGTATTGCATTATATGTCTGAGAGAAAACTGAATATTTGTTACAAAATAAGGCCAAAACTATAACTTGTAAAACTAATTACATTTAATACTTCTCTGCGAAGTGCTTGAGATTTGAGAGTATACGTAGTATATCCGTGCACTTTTTAAAATTATATTGAGAATATAAACGCATATACGTCATATTTAGTATATATTATGAAGACACCATTGGTTATTTAGCATTAAGTATTGAATTAAGAATTATTATTCATTATTTCAATTGCGAAATATTTGGTTATTGCTTTTTCAAGTCTATATGTCTGATATTTAATAATCGAAACAAACGCATATTTATTGAATACAAATATTTTTCTTTATTTTTAGGAAGTGTGGTTCCAAAAATTCATCTACATCTACTATGGCTAAGATACGTAAGACGGCACTTAAATTGAATGCTAAAATGCGCCCTATAAGAAAACCTGGTTTCTTACAATCGCCCAAAAAATCGTCGACATAAATCAATATTGACAAAATGTGATAAGAGTTAGGTTTTTTTTTCATAACAATTAACAAAGTTCAAATATATAATATATTTTTTATTTAAATGATCATACTGTGTAATTATTATTTTTTCCATTTTTTAATTTATGGAAATATTTTCCAATAGCCATTCTTCATCTCCGTCAGTATCAATTATAATTTATTAGTTACAATATGATTAATAGATATAATCTATAATATAAAACTGAATTGCTGAATGTCTTGCTAAGCGCAAATATCGAGAGCAGCTGAACCAATTTTGCTAATTATTTTTTTATAATATTCCTTGTAGTACGAGGATGGTTCTTACGGAGAGAAAAATTTAAAAAATTGCCTGTAAAAGTCTAAAAATAACACTTTTCTATATTCTCATACAAAAGATTTAAAAAAAATTCAATTAAAAAAAAAAGTAAAATTAAAAGTAAATTAAAACTATTGACACATAAAATGGATTTAATTGTTAAACATTGTATGTTTGGTAAGACACGCTGCAGGATGTATTCTGTAGAGTGGCAGAAACGTGGATTACCGCATGCATATATTGAGTGGGTTGAAAAAATTAAGCCAAATGAAGTTGATGAAGTTATATCAGCTGAAATCCCTAATGAATAAGTAGATCTTGGCTTGCATGAAGTAGTTATCAAAAATATGATACATGGTCCATGTGAAAAATTTAATCAAAATGTTCAAGCTTAATTCACGGACATTAATATCGGAAACAATTACTGAAAATGATGATTATCCACTTTATCGTCGGCGATCACTAGCAGACAATGGAAGGTCAACAATTTTTTTTCAAGATATTGAAATAGATAATCGCTGGATTGTTCCATATTCACCAATCTTATCAAAAACTTTTAAAGCACACATCAATGTTGAATCTTGCTATTCAGTAAAATCTATCAAGTACATATGTAAATATGTAACCAAATGAAGTGATATGGCTGTGATTGGATTTGGTGCAGAGAATTAAAATGATAAAGTAACCCAATACCAAATGGGCCGTCATGTTAACACCACAGATATCTGTGGTTAACACTAATGAAGCATTTTAGCGAATTTTTTTCTTTTCCAATTCATGAAAGACACCCCACAGTTCATTTTTTTTTTTTTTTTTATTAGGAGCTTTATTAATAAAATATTAAGCTCAACAATTACAGTAAATACAAAGGTCATAAGACAAGATATTAATATTTTATAGTAAATTGGGAATGGCCACGCCTAATCACCTAATGCATGATGCTTTTCATCAAGAGTTATAATGTGAAAAATCGTATGATATCAATATTTTGAAAGAATCGATTCAAATAAATCTTTCACTATTGAACGAAAAACAAAAGTATGTATTTGATACTCTTATGAAAGTAATAAATGACGGAACTGGTAGGATTTACTTCTTGGGCGCTCCTGGTGGTACAGGAAAAACTTTTTTGATTACTTTAATATTAGCAACAATTCACTCAAAAAATGAAATTGATCTAGCTCTTGCTTCGTCAGGCATTGTAGCAACTTTGGTTGAAGGCGGTCGAACAGCCCATTCAGCTCTAAAATTGTCATTAAATAGGTATGCAAAGCAACGAAACTCCAACCTGCAAACATTTTCAGAAATTCGGCAATGGTAAAGATTTTGGAGCAATGTAAACTTATAGTGTGGGACAAATGCACGATTGCGCATAAACAATCTTTAGAGGCTTTAGATAGAACCTTAAAAGATATATGGAACACCCAAAACCAATTTGGTGGTGCAATGATTTCAGATTTTCGCCAAACATTGCCAGTGATTCCTCGTTCAACGCAAGTTGATGAATTGAATGCATTTTTAAAGTCCTCAAATATGTGGAAACATGTCAAGATATTACATTTAAGCATGAATATGCGTGCCATGTTGTAAAATTATCAATCTGGAGACATATTCTCTAAACAACTCATTGATATTGGTAATGTCAAATTTCCTTTAAATGTTTAAATGTCCTGATTGGCTGCATCACCTTTCTTGAGAGTTTTTGTCAGTTAACGCAGTCAAAAGCTGAACTCATTCTTAAAGTGATTCCAAATGTTGCTCAATATTCCATGAATGGCTGAGCGAACGAGCTATACTGGCTGCCAAAAACACTGATGTAGATGAATTCAATTTCAAAATTCAAATCCATTTCTGGCGAAAAGGAGAAGACGTTTTGATACTCCACATCCCAATGATTAAGACTGATGTACCATTCGAGTTTAAACGACTACAGTTTCCAGTATGGGTTGCTTTCGCTATGACTATAAACAAATCCCAGGGGCAGTTATTAAGTGTTTATAGTATTAATCTAGAAAACCCTTGTTTCTCGCATAGTTGTTTGCTTTCGTGTTGGAAAACCATCTGTTCTGTTTGTTTACACGCCAGGTAATCACACAAAAAAATATCGTGTACCATAAAGCACTACAATAAAAATGAAACTTAATTTAGAATAAGTAAAAATAAAATGAAATATAATAAGTAGGTATCATAATAAGAAATCTGAAATTGCGATTTTTTAGTGACTATTAAAAGAATTTTAAGTGTTTTATAATTTTTATTTTTTGACATAATGTAATTGTTGACTTATCAACTTTCTCTTTTCTTTTTTTATCTTAATAGCTGACCCGGTGTCCCAAATAGCAGAATAAGTATTAAAAAAAAATAAAAATAAAAGAATTGACTGTTAGGCGGTACGAAGTTCGCCAGGTCAGCTATTCCAAGATAACATATAAATTAATCTATGGTACCCAAAATATAATAATTATGAATAGATCCAACTGACAAGCTTTTTCAACAGTCAAACACTTCATACAACGTGATTGGACTACTAATGTAGAAAATGTTTATTGTGACTATATATTTTATCTTTAGATACATAAAATAAATATACACGGTAATAAATTGTAAATAATTGTATTCAATATAAAAGTAATCATATAATATATGGCTTTGTTAAAACCTATGACATTATTTATTGAGAGACCAAGTTTAAAAATCTAGGAGAAATAACTAATTGTTTCAATTAACTAAAAAATAATATTTGTAATGAATATTTGTTGAAAATTCATATATTACATTTGTATAATTATAAATTTGTAAGTATTATAAAAAATATAATGCAAATTTTCAAAATAATAAGTAAAAATATAGGAACAGTGGTCAATGCATATAAAAATGAATTAACATCTTATACCTGGTACCTTATAGTATATGATGTTAATGATAGAGTAAACTTGAACTATTTTATGATTTACAATACGAATAAAATAAACTAAAAATTTTATTACATAGGTATTGTTAGTAATTACACAATATATTATTAAGTTTAAGTATTGGTATATAAAACCGATTTTTATAAAGTCTTTACCTCTATAAGTATCTGAAATTTTCATCATATAATACAGTAGTAGTTTTTGATAAAATAATTTCCTTATAAAACAATTAATAATAGGTACCTATACGCATTTTTATTTCCTAAAATCGTAACACGATTACTTTTACAAATATAGCTCATTGTATAATAATTATTGAAGTATCAACAAAATACATTTCTCATCATAATACTATATAATAATATTAAATTTTACAAATATTTATAAAAAATAAACATTCAATAAGGCACATATAAAAGATAAAACAAGATTGAGCTTTGCTATTTTTATAACAATGTTTTGAAAAAGAAAACTTAACATGCTAAATTATAGAGCGATTTTGAAAAAAAAAAAAATCAAATCATAATTTGACACCATTCATCAAAATTAACAAATATTTAGATAATAATAATGGCTTAAAACGTATTAATTAAGTGGCTTGAATTATTAAAATAATATTACTTAAAAAATACCTATTGTACATAAGTTCTTAGTTTTTATTCTACATACATTAATGTATAAATTTAAGTATGGCAATATGAATATTTTTATTAATAAATTAAAAAAATCAAAGTGTATGTAATCGAAAACGATTGAAGTGTATTTATTTGACAAAAAATTTAAATATTTAATTTTAGCTAAATTCATAGTTGGTGTATTAAGACAGTTTTTATCCATTTGTAAAAGCAATTAAATTACTTTTAGTTAAAATCATAAAAAATATTTACTGCTTATTGGATATTTTAACTCTAAAAAAATTAATATAAAATCAATGATAATTAATCAATGACAGTAGTAAATTGTGTTCAATCACAACAATTAACAATAAAACTTTAAATTAAGGGATAAAATTATCTGTTAATAATTATTTATTTTTGTCAGATTTCAATAAACAGCCATAGAGTTGTACTCATATTTAATGAAAAAAGTATTTAATGGCATCCGCAACTTTTCACAATCATATTTTTATATTTTTTTAATATAACATTGTTATCTTCTAAAAAAAATAGTACTGCCTGTTGTGCCATTTTCGTTGGAGCACAACATGGTTTAGGTACCTGCAATGGACTCATTAGATGTACCAGAGTTTGAACAATAGCATGGTTAGTTGCATTCATATGAGCATTGAGCGGAAAATTACATTCACCAGTGCAATAAAATGCACCATAGCCATCAGGAGCTATAATCCAATCCTGAAAAAAATTATTATAAAATAATGGTTTAATATAAATATCAACACTTAACTGAAACTTAAAATGAAAACATTAAATCTAAATTGAATATGTTTATCTTGGATTGGAAAAGTAATATTTAACCTCATTTAAGAATTTGTTTATTCAAAAAATAGAAATATATATAAAAATAAAAATTGTTCCTAAATAATTTAAATCAGAATCATAATAAAGAGAAGTGGAATTGTAATATGCTTAATAAAATAGCGAATCATAATTTTATTAAAATTATTAATAACTATTTAATTTTACCTGCCACTCAAGATCTCTGAAGCTCACGTATAATGTTTGTATCTGACAACTCCTAGACTGAAATCCATCTCCAATGTCTAAAATATATGTAATATATTAATAAACGTAATAAACAATTAAAAATATTATTTATTGTTTATAAATGTCTAGTAATGTTATAATCAAAATAATTATTGTTAAGGATTTCCAGGTTAGGATAATAAAATAAAACTTTTAATATTAAAAAATAAAAATAAAAAAAAAATACTTGGAAATGAATGTAAGACATTAAATGGGTAAGGAAGAAAATTAATTGTGAGCACTTGATTAAAGAACAATGTAATATAATGTGCTTGCTGCTGCTATTCAAATGTGTAAGCTCCATATATAATATTTTCTCTGTATCTTATTTTATGCATTTTATTAATCTAAACAAATGTATGATAATAAATGGATCATAATAGATTATTAGTATTTAATCTGGCTAGTCTTTTTGTAAATTCATATTTATTTTTAATTAAATTAATAGCTGTATTATTAGATTCATATAAATGCATTTGTTTTATATTTACTTTGAAAAGGATTAGAATTGAAACTACTTTCAATAGTTTTTCTTCTTCTCCGTCTGTAGTGTTTCTGAAGTGAAGGACCACCAACTATATTACCTCCATTTCTGGATTTCAAATAAACTGCCATAAAAGGTTTTTTTGCTTCAGACAATTGATGTTTGTCAGCCCAAGTTACCATACCAATTTCTTCAGGTTTAATCTCACGATCTTCATTATCAAGTGAATGTACAGAAACATAAAATCCTCGATTTGGATATAAAAAATGGATCCATGAAACAAGAGCACCTGTTGCATTAAACCGAAGCCATCCGTCATAATCTGTTGTAGTATTTTGAGTAGCTACAAATTCTAATTCTTTTTCCCCACTTTCAGTTATTAAAACTTGATATAAAGTTACTGAATACTTTTTGATACTATTTGAATTACCAGATTGATATAAATGAACTTCAGCTGAAGTAATCATATGAGTTTCTTCAGAAGGTACATCATTTAATTCAAATAAAATTCGTTTTCCATGTTCATGGCGTACATTACTTATTGGAGAATGATTTGATAAGTATAACGTAACAATAACATCACTGTCTTGTACAGTTCGATCATCATATAATCCAACATCAGAAACACTTCTTGTTTTCCTGTCGCGTGACCCTTCCTGTAGAGATTTATAGACATCAAACAAAAACTGAGGAGCTGAACCATTTAAATTCTTCGGAGCCTTCCTCGGTTTTTTAGGCACACCAAACATGGTCAATATTTCCTGTTCGACTTCGTTCCGTTCTTCGATAGACATTATATCTTGCTTAACAGTCTGGATGCCAGTATCTACGTACACACCAGTCGGCGACTCAGCGGTGACCATCATCGACGCGACGTACATCGCGGTCAGCGTCACAAAACAATTTCGTTTGTACATAATTTCTTTTTTCCTTTCGCGTGTCCGTCGAGAAAAACAGTCATGAAACGC